TTACAGCCTCTAAGGTCTATTCTCAACATAGAAGCAAAGGGTCCCTGTAAAAATCTAAGTTGAGTCATATTACTCTTCTGTTCAAAAGCACATATGTGTGCCCCATTTCACTCAGAGTAAAAGCCAAAGTCCCAGCAAGGCCTACGAGAACTATGTGACCTGGCCATTTACCGCTCTGATCTTACCGCCTTTTCCCTCCCCCCTGTGCGCGGGTCACACTGTGTCTTAGCTATTTCTTGAATGGGCAGCATATTGCTACCTTGGGAACTTTGGACTGGCTGTTTTTTCTGCATACCAACTCTTCCACCAAATACTCATTGGCTAATGCCCTCACTTCTCTCAAGGTCTCTTCTCAATAAGACCTACCCTGACCACCCCCTCAAAACCACAACCTTTTCCATTCCCTTCACCACTCCTTCCCATCACCATACCCTCGCCAGCATTGCCAATCATGCTTAGCCCATTTTTTTGCCACAGCACTAATCACTTTCTCACACACTTTATCATTTACTTATTAATACTCATTTTTCAAGTTAAGTTCTATAAGAACAAGGGTATTTATGTGCTCCATTTCCTGCATACAGAATTTCATAATATTATTGAATTAATTAATTTCAGGCACTGTACAAAGTAAATTTAAGAAATAGTCCTACTTCTTTCTCAACCCCCCCTTGTAAATTGGTGTGCTGTTTTTATAATTTTATAGATAAAGAAACTAAATCACAGAGAAGGTAAGCAACTTGCCCAAGTTCATGTAGTCAACAAGTACAGAAAGTCAGGTTCACAGAGCAGCTATGTTTAAGTCATACTCCTTAAAACCTTTGTAGAATGAGATGAAGTCTTATTCTATGAATAAGGTAAGTCATAAAGGTAAAGATAACTAAATAAATCCTTAGAAGAGAATTAAGGAGAACAAAGCACCAAGGAAAAAGGGACAGGCTGAACAGAAAGTACAAGAATGACCCAGGAAAAGGCAAGTGGCTCAGATTGGCTGAATTGAAAGGGTTAATACAGGATATTTGTAGGGAGTAAAGTAGGAAAGGAATTAGGGCATGTTATGAAGGATCTTCAAGAATGAACTGATAAGAAAGAACAGAAAAAGTATTTTTTTCTTTTGTTATATTGCAAAGGGAATGATTTTTTTTTTTAAACCTAAGCACTCCATGAAAGAAAATAAATCTATTCGATAAATTCTCTGGGGGAAAAATGCAAAATTTGACTCACACATAGCCATGACCTTAAACTAAGTTATGCCATGCACTTAGTTTTGAGTTCTTTTTACCACCATCATCTTAAGGAAAATCCTTAAGGCAGCAGCAGTATATACCAATAGCAGGCTCTTAGGAGACAGAGGCAAGAGGATCTCAACTTAAGGCAAAGTTAGTGACCCTCTCTTAAAGTCAAAATAAAGTCATTCCAGTGGCTCATGCATGTAATCCTAGCTACTTGGAAGGCTGCGATGGGGAGGATTGTGTTTTGAGGCCACTCCGGGCAAATGGACAGGAGGTGTGGCTCAAGTGGTAGAGCCCCTGCTTTGCAAGTGTACAGCTCTGAGTTCAAATTCCAGTCCACCAAAAAATAAAATAAAATGAAAACAAAAGGGCTAGGGGCATAGCTCAAGTGGCAGAGTACTTGGGGATAGCTTTGCTCAGATTAAGGAAAGGATGGAGCCAGGTATGGTGGTACATGTCTGTAATCCCAGCACTCTGGAGGCAGAGACAGGTGGATCATGAGTTCTAGGGCAGTCTGAGACCCTGTTTCAAAACCAAGGGCTAGGGATGTAACTCAGTGGTAGAGTGGTTGCCTAACATGTACAAGGCCTTGGTTTCAATCAGCAGCACTGCAAAATAATAGTAATAATAACAGTAATAATAGAAAGGATGGTGTCATAGGTCATAGCCAAATACCCCCCATCTAACAGGAAAATGGAAAGGATAAGGGAAATTGGCACCTATAAATACTTCTTCACATTTGAGAATCACTTTCTTTAATAGAAGAATGTGGGAAAGGTGGAAAAGGGGGGAAGTTCTACATTGTCCTTTATAATGTTTTTTAGAAGGAAGGTAAATCCAGTGTTTTTGTTCTGCCCATTTACTTAATGTGAACAAACAATAATTAGGAAAATTATCCAACAAATATTTATTACAGGTCTCCTCAGTGGGCCAGACCTAGTAATAAAGGCAGAGCTCATTCCCTCAATCCTTTTAGAGATTATTTTATTTAGTGCCTTTTCATGGGATATTTTACTCCAGGCCTTTGCAGATAAACCAGCTGCTCATGATAAAAGGTGACCCTATGACTGCTGGTGTGCATTATGATCACAGGATTTCTCCCAAAGCCTAGGATAAGCCTCTGACACAGCAATCCTGTAATCCAACACGTTTCTCTCCGTGTAAAGAATGCTTTATAGGCAGAATACAGTATAGGGAGGGAATCTGAGCTGCATACAGCTTCCTTTGGATATTTTGATTGATAACACCATGCAATCCAGCAGAGCAGGGTGGAGCTCAGACCAATGAGCTCTCCAATGAACTCAGACCCCCAGAAAAACTAACAACATTCATCAGACCAGAAGTTAGAAGGCAGCCAACATCTTTTCTTTATGAATTACCAGAGCCTGTTTCATCTCCTGGAAACCTTAAGCATTGAAAGAATTATAATCCTCTCTTTTCCCACAAACACACATGATTCAAGATAAGTGAAATTAATTTCAATAAAGCTCTGGTATTCTCATGAGGATAACTTCAGAACTTTATTTTAAATACCAAATATGAAATTATTTTCAGAAAAAAATTTAGAGATGTCCCTCCCATAGGTAAAGCTTTGTGCTCGCTTGATTTACCTATCGAATAATTCATCACTATACATTGTAAACTCATAGAGGCCTGAGGTTGAGAATTCCCTAATTTAGACAAAGTTATAGTACCTACCACTTGAGATTTATTCTGTTACCTTGTGCTCACTCCGGTGCACACCCAAGGAGAGAGCCTATACTAATGCCTTCCTCCTACACCTCTTCTGACCTCTTCTAACCTCTTTCAGTGGTGGACAAAATCTAACTATATAGCCCAGGTTGGCCTTAAACTCCTACCTCAGCCTCCTGAGTGCTGGGATTGCAGGCATGCACAACCACGCATGGGTTTAAAAATATTCTGACAATATAATGATAATAATGGAGTCATAACCAGAAGATGATAATTAGGAGATACCTGTAGCCGGTATTTCTGTGGCATCATCTGCCTCTGGCACAGGGCCTACTGAGTACTTATCCAGCATACATATGTGATTTTAGTATCATCATAGTCTGATTTGCAGCTGTAATTAATAAAACCTAATTCTAGCAGGCCCTATCATCTGATTAGTGTGTGGTCCTTCCTCTACCATTTTGTTAGACTTGATAAGGCAGAGCCTGTGGTTAACTGCTACTGACCCTTATGCTAGTTAAAAGCTTCATCTCTACAGTTGCTATGGAAACCGTCCCCTTCCCACAACCCATTCTGACCCCTCTGCCTTTACTTGGCACTCTTCTGATTGTAGGAAAACGACTACACATCCCTCGGTGCTGTTTCCCAGATTCAGATCTGTAAATGGTGGGGAGAGGGTAATGGAACATGGTCTTATAGATCACCGTAGGGTGAGGTAACCCCACCATCTGATGTTCTACCAGTACTTTTGTTTTCCTTTCTCTGCTACAAAAAGGATTTTCAGGGCCACATCCAAATCCGTTACAGAATGGACTGCTCCGCTACACACGTGTTCCGTGATGGGGACCAGGACTGCTGTGAGATACTTGAACATGCAGACCAGACACTGCCCAATCAGAATGTGGTTCACTAGCAACCCTGCTGCGTCAGGCCCTGTGTTCCTTTCTAGCCAGTACTAACCCCAAAGTGCAAGGTAAATGGGAAAAAAAGCAAGTGCAGCTGGAGACCTAGGGTGAAAGACAGGCTTTCTATCAGTATACACAAGTACATGCATGCACACAATGATTTGGTAGCCTGTGTAAGTGCGTTGAAGTGCAGAGCAGGTGGTAGAGACACACGGAGGAATGTAGGGAAATAGACACAGCACTATTTTAGGAGGTGATGGTGCTGGGAATCAAACTCAGGGCCTTGTGTATGCTAGGAAAGAACTCTACCACATCCCCAGCCGCTATATATACAGTGCCAGGCCTCCTCAGTTCTTTCCCATCCCCTGGTTCTTTGATTCTGGAGCTGTCATCTTTTCTTTGGTTCAAACATTGCCTTTCTGTCTCAAGAATTCCCTGGGCTCGGTAATTACACAGCCTCCTAAGGTTACCCATTTCACTCTATCACTGCACTTGTAGTGGGAAGGTTTTTCCTTGGTTTTACTCAAACCCCCTTGCTGCAGTCTGAGCTCATTGCACTCAGCAGTGATGGAGACTAGCCAACTACTATCTTTAGCATAACAACTCACCAGGGACTCAGGGCCGGAAGGTCATTCTGTCCCCTCCAATACTGCGCAGCCTTTCTGTGCACAGAGCCTGGGGCAAGGACAGGGAAACCGAGGATGGAGATCAGGATCGTGGCAGGCAGCGACAAAGGGAGAAAAAAAAAAAAAAAAGAAAGAAAAAAAGAGCGCCAGACAATGATAATACAGACGCACAGACACAGATGGAGACAATGATACAAACTCCGAAAGAGTGAGCGACAAGATGGCTCCCCTCAGTTCGGGCGAGGCTGCGGAATTGCCAGACAGTATTTATCGGGGACACATCCTAAAACTAGCACCTTTTTCTGGCGTCAAAGCAATCGACTGGACCCTGCGCTGGGTCCTTCAAAACCCCTACCCCTGCTCTAGTCGGAGCGGGAGCTCCTTCTGGAAAACTGCAGGAGGGTGGGTGGGGGAGGCCACCAACCGCAGGCGGGGCGAGACCGCAGAGCCACAGCGTCCCCGCCCCAGCCCCGCCCCTGCGGCGCCTATGCTCCACCCCTGGCAGGTAACAGCCAATGAGCGGCCCCCGCCGCCGGCTTTAAGAATCGCGCACACTCTCCCTGCTGCGGACGCTGCCGGTCTAGCACTCCTCTGGAGTTTCCATGGAGACCGAAGCCGGGCCTGCGCGGCCTCGCGACGTTGCCATGGAGACAACTCCGGGGCTGGGGCTCGGAAGCTCCGGCGCATCTCTAGCTCAGAACCCAGCGGAGCCGCTGTGCGAGACCAGAGCCGCCGTGGCGGCGGCACGCTGGGACCTACGGAAACACTCTTTGCTTATCGTAATCGGCGATATCTGCACAGAGAGCCAGCTGAGGGCCGTTCGGGCCCACCTTGAACAAGGTGAGCCGCTGTCCTGGCTGTCTCCCGAGCACCTCCATCCCATGCTTCTCCGCCATCTGCATTCATCTCCAATTCGCACGTTTGCATCCTCTACCCCCGTGGGCACTCTCTGAGACCTGCGCTCCTTTTACCTGCATCTTCCATGCCATTTGTCCGCCTCCTTCCCGAGCTCATGACATCTTTCTTGCTTGCTCATCCTTCCCGCACATTGCGTGGTGTTCCGCAATCTCCCTGAGGAAGGGGACCTCTATGCAACCCCAGGGGCCCCTCTGGTCACACCCCTCTCCCGCAGTGTCTCAGCCAGATATCCTGAAAGTCCTCACCATTCCCTGGGAGGCCATGTCCCTACCTTACACTTTCTTCTTTAGCGTCCCTGAACCCGCACAGGGTGCTTTCTGAACGCTGCGTACAAATACCAAGTCTCTGAATGCCGGCAGCCAACGTGAGAGAGTGACCTCCGAGGCTACCAGCTCCTCAGCTCACCTCCCTTCCCTGTGCCTGTGGCGCAGTGCTGCGGAGCCACCTGCGGGTGGAAGCCAGCCGCGGAGGGGTGGAGGCAAGGAGGGGGACAGAGAACAGGAATCTAGAATCTTACCTATCTGTAGGTAAGAAGGCCACAGTATCTGGGAGTAGGCTCTTAGGTGTCACTTCTACCACAACTAAGCAACCTTAAAAAAAATTGCTACCTAAAAAATTGCTTAAAAAAATTGCTAAACTTGGTCATTAATGACCAAGTCTAATCTCAGCCCTTCTCCTTGTAGCTCCAGCAAGGGGGAAAAAAAACAAAACAACAACAACAAAAACCTGTGGTTAGGAGATAAACACAAGTACTGGCCATCCCTCTGAGAGACATCAGTGAAGCTCACTCATCATGGCAACTACCCCTATCCCCTTCCTCTCCCTCTCCCTTCTATGAGCTTGAAAGGGCTTTCTGTAGTCCTAACCTCTTACTTTATCTAGAACCCTCTTTCTTTCTTTTTCTTTCACAGGAATTCTCTCCTGGAACATTGACTTGTCATCCTTTGACCTGAACCAACAGTTGAGACTCTTCATTACCCGGCACCTAGCTCACTTCTCCTCAGAGGTCAAAGGTCAGGACTAGTGTCATTTGTCTTAATCTTTTAGGTGAGAGCTGGTTACAGAAGAGTAGAGGTCCAGCCTCACTGACAGAACTGGCTTTGTGGGATATTTGGGTGGGAGAGAAGGGAGGGACTCCTGATGGCGAGTGGCAGGGCTCCATAGCTATCTCCACAGACTGAGTACATTTTGCAGTTTCATGGTATGAGGCTGGAGGGAGCCTGGAGCCTGGAAAGTATAATTTCTTCAAGAAGAGGTTGTTCATGGACAGTAGTTAACTTGCACTAAGAAAACAAGGTACTCCTCTTCAGTGGTCAATCACCTCCCATGCAAATATCTACTCTTCATTTGTGTTCTCCTTTCTGCATACCCCCAGCCTCCCTGCTTTCCTTTACAGAGATCCTAAAATGCCCTCACTCATCTTCCCAGGCCCTTGCTTCACACAGTCTGCCTTCCAGGATTCAGGGTTTCTGTTCCCTTCTTTGACTTAGTCAACAGTTCTCCAGAGCAGAGGACAATCCTAGTTCCAAAGACTGATGAGCACCATCAAATCCAAGGTGGAAGGAGGGTCACCTGAATTTACTGCTACAAGGGCTAGTTACTCTTTGAGGTTTGGCTTTTAGATCAAAGTTTACAGAATGTAGTTTCCAATTCTTCTGAGTGGAAGAAATGGGTTAGAAATTTGAGATGTGATTTTATGAACTATCATCTATGACTGATGTCTGTGGGAAGAGCTAGAATATCCTACATCTCATGATAAAAGTTCCAGGCATCTAGTCTGTTCTGTTATTTATTGGTAATTGTTCATACACCAATTCATGGAGTTTTTTGGTTTCCCAAGTGCTGGGATTACCGTAATCTGGCTTCCATGAAGCTTTATGGAATATAAAATTCATGCATCTTAATAGCCATTGCCACCAAATAACTGAATTCATATGCAAATAATTCTCAATTATCCAGTATGGTAAATAATCACCTCTCCTCTTCCTACTCCTCCTATCTGCCAGGTCTTTGGTCATTTCCTGATCACTGATTGCTCTAGTTGCTGCTAGAGGTTGGAGCAAACAAGATTAATATGACTAACATACCATTATCTTAGGTATATGTGCCACAATTTAAAGATTGTGAGGCTGGTACTTTCTTGATGTGAGACTGATTTCCTATAACACCAACCACTCACTTTTTTGATATTGCTTTCTGCGTAGAATTGCTCATCTCATGGCTTCCTCCATTATCCCTGATGACTGAAAATCAAAAATTTTACCACCTAGTACTCCTAGCAGCTTTAGTGCAAAACTGAAGAAAGGGATGGCAGAAGATAAAATTAATGACCGAACTGAAGTTTAGGGATTATCTACTGATATAAATAATTCATACTGAATTTTCTAACCTTGCCCTTTTGGCCACAGAGACTTGAGAGTAGACTGTTTCTCAAATGATGTAAGGAATGAACAGAACTTAAGCCAACTTCTAAGCCATTCTTCAAACTCATATGAAGGAGATGCTTGGGAAGAGGCTTATGGGTAGTAGCATAGTAATCCTCAAAAGCACTGATATAGAAATATCTACTAGACCTTGTCAGAGTTTTGCTATGATGTCCTCAAGGGGCTCAGAGCCATACATCCCACATCAGGGCTTACTTTAGCACACTGAATTTTTTTAAGTTTGAACATCTTCTTGGTTGCCTGTCTATGTCCCTGGAGAATAGAGGAGAATTTCCTGGAAAAAAACACACACACACACACACACAGCTCAAGACAGCCACAGCCCCACCCCTGCTGACTCCTCTTTCAGCTGTCCCCACAAACAACAGTCAGCCCAGAGCAGCTGCAGACACTGGCCCTCCCTTCAGCCTCCTGTGAGTGAAGGCAAAAGGAACCAAGTGACTGGGATGGGCTCAAGGAGATACGCTAGTTAGTGCCTTAGCACTTGACTTGACCCTTTCTGTCTACCCCACAGGCTGGACCATCATTCCCATTACCTGTCTTCCAACACTGGGTAAAAATGATGAGAAAAGGAACAAAAATGTATCCTACAATAACAGGAAGAGTGCAATTATTCCTAGGCCCGCCTCCCTCCACATTCACCCACTCACACACAGAAAAGAAGGGACCCTTTAATAGTCAGTGGCCCAGCTCCTTCTAGTGGTCAAGTTGGTAAAAAGTTTTCAAAGGTGGCTTTGTGCCAGGCAGTTTCCAGCAAGGACTTGGAACCTTTCTTTATGATTCCTGCAAAAAGTAAAATTAAATTAAAAATTTAAAAACTCTGGAGCTTCTGAGCATTTTAACACAATCCTAGAAGATACAACTAGGACAGTGGAAGACTGAGCCTCCAGCCTGGGGGTTTAGCTCAATAGTAGAGCACCTGCCCTGGGTTTACCTTGGCTCTGGCTCTGCAAAAAAAAAGGAAGGAAGAAAGAAGGAAGGAAGGGAGAGAGGGAAGGAGAGAAAGAGAGAAAGAAAGGAAGAAAGGAAGGAAGGAAAGAAAGAGAGAGAGAGAGGAAGGAAGGAAAGAAAAAAGGAAGAAAGAAAGAAAGAAAGAACCTGAGCCAGCCAGGTGGCTGGTGGCTCACACCTGTAAACTTAGCTACTCAGGAGGCAGAGATTAGGAAGATCACAGTTCAAAGCCAGCCTGGGCAAATAGTTCACCCCATCTGAAAAATGGGGTGGCTCAAGTGGTAGAGCGCCTGCCTGGCAAGCATGAGGTCCTGAGTTCAACCCCTGGTACTGCCAGAAAAATAAGAAAAAGGAAAAAAGAAATTGAGTTTCAATAAAGTTCTGATAATACTATTGAGCACCTATAGAGAAGAGAGAATTGATATTCTAAGACTCTAAGAAACACAGGCTGAGGAACCCGTCTCTATTACCATTGATGTTCCTAGAAGGAATTTGTCTGTACTTCTCTCAAAATGAAATGAAAGCTGTCTTCAATTAGGGGTCTATATTGCTGTCTGAAGTGGGAAAGTGGGTCCATGAGTAGAACTTCAAGTGTCAGCTTGCAGGCATGTCCAGTTCTAGTTTTTACCTGGAAACTCCAGGGTTGGTCTGGTCTAAAATTCTGGTTTAGGATTTCCATGATCACCTAGGTGGCCTTTCAGAAATCTTACACAAAAGGGAGAAATTTCCAGTGGTATTTGTACCTTGCAGGTTTAAGATTCTAGGAATAAAGAGACACATCTTTTATGCAAGTCAGTCCTAATAGCATTATTGGAGGATGGTAATAACATTATACACACCTTATAATTCAGGAAGAAAGCTCTGAGAGAGGCTAAGTGGCTTGTTTAGTGACATGATTGGTGGAGTCAGATCTCGAGTCCCATGTCTAAGCTCAAACCTCTCTCTCTTCCATTTCATTGCAACTAGGGACTCAGCAAGTTGAGGGTCGGTTGGGTTGTCTTGAGTGGCTATTCAGAGGGTGAGTGCTGAAGAAAAACTCTACTGTGAGTTGAAACTGTGGCCCTTGGGATGTGGCAGCTGAGAGTAAGGGTGGGCTCTGCATTTGACTAGGAAATGTTATTTTTGTTCCCAAGCCAAGTCTACTCAAATTTCCCTCCTAATACTCCAGAGAGCCCTAGAAAGCAGAGAACAGATTGAAGACTTAAGGTGGGAGAAAATAAGAACTATGGAGTTGCAAAAGGAAGATATTTCACTTTTCTGATGCTCTGAACTCAGCCTGGCTTGTATTGTGTATCTGCACAGATGGCCTCTTCTTTCTAAATGGGGCTGTTGCCATGTTGCTGTTTTGCATCCCCGGATCTAAGCAAGAGTTCCTCCCCCTCTACCCTCCCCTGCCCCCCCAAGAGTACTGGTGACTCAGCTTCTCTTCTCCTTTGGCTGCAGTTAAGGGGGGATGGAGGGATGCTGAGAGCAGAGACTATTTTGACTTCTCTGACCTTCAAAAGGCTGCTCTTGGCAGCCTGGGACAAGGGTGGGGCTGGTGCTGGGGTATGAGTGGGTGAAAGTCACTGTGCCATGGTTTTAGGAGCTGGCCAGGATTGGGGAGGGTTAATGGGAAGAGGACAGGGTGTGAGAGCTAGAGCATCACCCATTGGAAGTGAGTGCTAGAGCTCCAGATCTTTCTGTTGAGTCCTGGAACATTTCACAAAATCTGAGGCAGAGGGACTAAGGGACACAAGGTCAACATCAGAAACGTCAAGATAATGTAAGACTGACAGGCATGGAAAGGTACAGAGACAAGGAGAGAACAGGGACCCAACCCCTGCAAAGTTATCATAAGACTTTTTTTTTTTTTAACCCAAAGAGTACTTTACATTACATTTAATAATTGGCCTATAGTTAGAAAATCTTGCCTGAGCCTGGGTCCTTGGGATGCTCTGTGATTCTTGTTAACTTCTTCACTGAAAAGCAGAAACCTCCCTTGCCCTTCAGTGGGCCTCCTCATCCCAATGACTCAAGATTCCCAAGGATCAGTGCCTGTGTGGTTGCTCTGCAGTGTTGCAATGGCACAGACCTAAATGCAGTTCCCAGGGTCCCTGTGCCCCACCCTAGTGTGCTGGGGGCTGTGTCCACTCCAGAATTTCAAACTACCCTCCAACCCTAAAACATGACTTATTTCTGCCCTCCCCTGTTTTCTATAGTTGTGGTTCAGAAAAGGGAACGGCTTAGTGTATCCCCCATCCCCCCACCTCTGCCCCCTACTTTCAAGCCCCCAGTCCTTTTGTCTCCTGTTCCTGGAAGCACTGAAGGTCAGTCCCTAGGTCCATCTGAGGGGAGAGGTAGCAGATGGTTTCTAAGAGGAGGGGGAGGGCCCTTTCGGCTCATATGTCCTGTATGAGGACATATGTACCCTGGCGTGGGACTTTGGACTTTTGGTTGATGCTAAAAGAGAATTTCCTAACTAAGCAGGGTTTGGAGAGAAGCAGGGTTTGTGCGCCATAGGCGATCACCCTGGCGCTTTGAGCTGCTAGACAACCTCTCAGTACCCCCAGGGTCCAGCAGAAGCACTAGAGTATTGACGTTGCGAAGGCCAAGAAACAGTTAAGCCTCCAGTGCCTCGTCAAGGACCAGCCCCTCTTCCCCGCCCTGGCGCCGCCCTCCCTATCAAGCGCCCCCCCTCCCCCCCACTCCCACCCCAAGTGCGGCAGACTCTTCCCTGTAGCTGCCGGCTGAGGCCGTAGCCGCCGCCTCCATGAGGGCTCCCTCCCACACCCCCGGGTAAGAGCTGAACTGAAGGGATTGGCATGGCGGCGGGGTGGGGGTTCTGCGATTGAAGGTGGGATGGGGGTAACAGGAAAGGAGCGGATACCTGGTGCATCTGAACTAGGCCAGCACAGTGGGCAGGGTGGGGAGATGGAGAGAGAAGATGACCATTACTGGCTGGGGTTGGCCTGGACCCAGAACCTAGTAGAACCTACAGGGGCTGTGACAGTCCATCTCTCCAGCTGGGCGGGGGTGGGAGACAACAGCCCAGCGGCGGCGGCAGCAGCAGAGGGTGGTGCCACTGGCTCTCTGCCTTGGCAAGCCCCGGGCGCTGGAGGAGTTTGGGGACTGTGTTTTTGGTGAAAGGCAGGAGAATGTGAGAGAAGAGGGGATGTTATGGGAATGTATTTACTGGGACGGTCCCTGGGATGTCAGCTGCTGGATTGCTCAGCTGCTCCTATGCTGGGGATGAGTGGGGAAGCGAGTTTTTGCCAAGTAAGGGAAGGTGGGGAACATTACGGAAAGGAAGGGAGGAAAGGGTCATTAAGACGTGGCACGCGCCTCCTTACAGACTAACTGGTTTGTAATGGGCTCTCCCACCCCATTCCCTGTGGCCAGCTTGGGACTGGGGCTCAAAGGCCCCCTTTGTGGCCCCGCTGAGGCCACTCTGGAGATTGAGAGCACTCTCTCCCCAGCAGCTGCCTTGCATTCCCCATCCGGCCAACCCCACAGGTTCCCGGTCTCAATCCCACCCCCACCTCATTTCTGCTTTTCTTCCCAAGATGGGGGCTGTTGAACAGAGGAGCCAGTTTTTTTCTCCTTCTCAGAGTCCCCCCCATCCCTACCCGCCCCCCCTCCCCATGCAGAGGCAGCCAAGAAAATGACTTGTCATGCTGGGGTGGGGGGCGGGGGCGGAGCTGGAGGCTGAGCTCAGCGCGCACACTCACACACACACACACTGCGGCAAACTGCAGCTGCCCGAGCGCCCCCCCCTCCCCTTCTGCCTCACTGCAGAGACACCTGCCCTCCTGCCTGCTCAGCCTTCACTCCCGCAGCCTTCCCTGCACCCCAGCACTGGCCAAGGGAGCTGCCCCTGCCTGGCAAAACAGTCTTCTCCAGAGGAAAAGGAGAAACAAGTCATTCCCATCATTGAGAGAGCTGGGGAGCAGAAGAGAAAAACAAGGCTTTCCTCCAGGCCTGAAAAAGAGGGGTGCAAGGTATAAACCACGTAGTTGCAAGTCAGAACTGCTCTTCAGCAATAGAGTGAGGGGTAGGGTCTTATGTCAGGACAGGAACTGGGATCAGAGGAGTCTTGTGGTTATAAACCAAGGACTGTGGAACTGCGTGAGGGTGGGGGGGGAATGATAGACGGAAAGCAAATGAGTTTGTGCAGTAGATATTTATCTTTATACTCTGTCTAGCTCAAAAGTGTGACCTTGTGTGCGTCAGGGGAACCCTTGCCTTTCTAAATCTGAACTAATTAAGACTGGCAGTTTGCTGGACCTTGATATCCCTACCTGCCCAAGCCCTGGCCCTGCCTGCCTCTGCGATGGCCCCCATCCTCTGAACTACCCTCAAAGTTTTCCCCAATTTCCAAGTTCATAGACAAGAACCCTTTAATTCCTCATGGGTCCAGCAAACCCTGTGTAGGATTTGGTTTTCTGACACCATCCATAGTTAATTTTCCCCCAGCTGCATCTGCAGCCCTGCTATGCCAGATCTGCCTAGTCCTGGTACCATGGTTCTTCCTCTTAGCAAGAGCCACAGGCTCCTCTGGTCCCAGCCCCAGAAAGAAAAGAGAATAGGATCACAGAAGAGGGTCTAGGGAACAAATTATGAATCCTCCCATCAGTATCCTCCAGACGGCCCACTCCCCAGGCCTTCCCGCCCCGCCTTCTGTTGGATTCTCTGCTTGTATGGTTAACTCCGCTGTGGCTGCAGTTGGGGGATGGGTATGGGCAGGATCCTGGAAGGCATCACACTTCAGCATCTCTTTCTGAGCTGTCACTTTCTGTGCTGTATTGCTTGGTGTTTTGTGTGGCTCTGAATAAGAGTACTCTATAGAGGATTTGAGGATATCGTCTTCTTTCTCCATGATCTGAGGAATACCTCAATCTTGCTTTTCTGATTTATGGGTTTCTTATTTGTGAACCAACCTCTCACTTACCATCTCCATGATAGATGTCCCACAGGCGAGGAAAAATTGTTCACAAGGGATGGGTTGTGGGGTAGTAAGCCAGGCCCATCTGTAGTCTGGGGACATGAATGTGAGGTAGGAGAGGGAGCTTTGAAACCTTTGGGGGTGGGAGGAATATGAATGTAGGCATGTGTGAAGTGCAGGCTTGGCCACTGAGGAGCCAGAAAGCAGAAATTGGAAGTTAGAGTCCTATATCCACTCTGAATTGTAAAAGTCCAAGAACTGAGACAGCACAGGTCTCCGAGTCTTCTGGAACAGGAAATTCTGGCCTTGGATGGGAGTTGGAAAGGAGGACAGGCAGTCTGTAGACACAACACAGAAGCTCCCATCTCCTTATTTCTAGACACTCTGCTGGCACAAAACCCCAAGGCAAAGGCAAGCTAGCAAGGAGGAAGCTCAGTAAGGATCATCATCCCAGGAGTCCTCTCTACAGCTGAGTCACTCCTGCACCCCGCCCCCCAATCCCCAGGCAGCACCAGGAGCTTAGTGCTCCAGAGGGACAAAAGCTTCTTGTCAACTGGGCAGTCTGAGGCTGGAGTTCCAGGCAGATGGGTGGGAACATGGACAGCAGGGGTGTGGCAGATGAAGGGAGGAAGCAGACAACCAGTGTGGGAGAGGGGAGATGGAAACCCTTAAAGGGAATAGCTGCAGGAACCCATACCTAGACTTTACTTAGCAGTATCTAATGTGGCAGGGTCTAAGGATAACCAGACTTCTCTTTCCACTAAGCCCCAGAAAGTTCTGAGCATGAATCTTTTCCTCTCCTGCCATGCACAATGTCTACTCTCCTCAATACAAATTTCTTCATCTCTCCCTCAGGCCAGAGGACCCTCTGCCACCAGAGTGAGATCCTAGAGACCATCATCCTGGTAAACCCCAGTGTAGACAGCATCAGCTCTGAGGTAAGGCCAAGGCCTTGCCAAGAAGCCTGCTCCAAGTGCTGTAACCCACCCTTGCCAGTGCTACTAATTTAAGGCTAAAAATTCCCCTCCATCTAAGATGATTTATAATCCCAGTTCCTTTCTGGAGATGTTGTGGGAGATACCAGTGGGGAGCAATGACCTTGTATTTCTGAGGTGGGGTAAATTTTCCCCTGGGGTTTCCTATCTCTGTGACTACTTCCCTTCCTCCATTTCAGGTTCATCATCTCCTTAGCAGCCCATCAGCTCACAAACTACTGATCTTAAGTGGACAAAATATAGAGCCTGGGGGAGACCTCATCTTACAGAGTGGTACCTACTCCTACCAAAACTTTGCCCAGGTCCTTCACAACCCAGAGGTAAGCTCAAAGCCTGAGTGTCTGGAAAGAAGGGGCAGGACTTGAACCGTGGGGAGGAACCCAAGGAAGGGAAAGTCTCATGCTGCTTAGCCATCAGAAGGTATGAGTCCTCTCACCTCAGAGAGAGGTGAAGATTAGGGGACTGAATCTGAGTCAGGCTAAGACAATCCCAGTGACCTGATCAGCTTCTATCTCCCCTTCCTTTAGATTGCCCAATTACTCAGCAATAGAGACCCTGGGATCCAGGCATTCCTCACTGTGTCCTGCTTAGGAGAGGGTGACTGGAGCCACCTGGGACTGTCCAGTTCCCAAGAGACCCTGCACCTTCGACTAAACCCTGAGCCCATGCTACCCACCATGGATGGTGTGGCTGAGTTCTCCGAGTACGTCTCTGAGACTGTGGATGTGCCATCGCCCTTTGATCTGCTCGAACCCCCCACCTCAGGGGGCTTCCTCAAGCTCTCTAAGCCTTGCTGCTACATCTTCCCGGGTGGCCGTGGGGACTCTGCCCTCTTTGCTGTCAATGGTTTCAACATCCTAGTGGATGGTGGTTCTGATCGTAAGTCCTGCTTCTGGAAGCTGGTACGACACCTAGATCGCATTGACTCAGTGCTGCTCACGCACATTGGGGCAGACAATCTGCCAGGCATCAATGGACTCCTGCAGCGCAAAGTGGCTGAGCTAGAGGAGGAACAGTCCCAGGGTTCCAGCAGCTACAGCGACTGGGTGAAGAACCTCATCTCCCCAGAGCTTGGAGTTGTCTTCTTCAATGTGCCCGACAAGCTGAGGCTGCCTGATGCCTCCCGGAAGGCCAAGCGCAGCATTGAAGAGGCCTGTCTCACTCTTCAGCACCTAAACCGTCTGGGCATTCAGGCTGAGCCTCTGTACCGTGTGGTCAGCAACACTATTGAGCCACTGACCCTATTCCACAAAATGGGTGTGGGCCGGCTGGACATGTATGTCCTCAACCCTGTCAAGGACAGCAAGGAGATGCAGTTCCTCATGCAGAAGTGGGCAGGCAATAGTAAAGCCAAGACAGGCATTGTGCTGGCCAATGGGAAGGAGGCTGAGATCTCGGTGCCCTACCTGACCTCTATCACTGCCCTGGTGGTCTGGCTACCCGCCAACCCTACTGAGAAGATAGTGCGTGTGCTTTTTCCAGGAAATGCTCCTCAGAACAAGATCTTGGAAGGCTTGGAAAAGCTTAGGCACCTGGACTTCCTACGCTACCCCGTAGCCACACAGAAGGACCTGGCTGCTGGGGCTATGCCTGCCAATCTGAAACCCAGCAAAATCAAACAACGAGCCGACAGTAAGGAGAGCCTCAAAGCTGCTCCCAAGACAGCAGTGAGCAAGCTGGCCAAACGAGAGGAAGTGGTAGAAGAGGGAGCCAAGGAGGCCCGCTCAGAGTTGGCCAAGGAGTTAGCCAAGACAGAGAAGAAAGCAAAAGAGCCATCTGAGAAGCCCCCAGAGAAGCCTGCCAAGCCTGAGAGAGGGAGGACAGAGTCGAGTGAGGCATTAAAGGCAGAGAAGCGAAAGCTAATCAAGGACAAGGTAGGGAAGAAGCACCTTAAAGAAAAGATATCAAAGCTGGAAGAGAAAAAAGATAAAGAGAAAAAAGAGATTAAGAAGGAGAGGAAGGAGCTCAAGAAGGATGAAGGAAGGAAGGAGGAGAAGAAGGATGCCAAGAAGGAGGAGAAGAGAAAAGATACCAAACCTGAGATCAAGAAAATTTCCAAACCAGACCTGAAGCCCTTTACACCTGAGGTACGTAAGACCCTCTACAAAGCCAAGACCCCTGGAAGAATCAAGATGGACAAGAGTCGAGCTTCCCGTGGGGAGAAGGAACTGTCTTCTGAGCCCCGGACACCCCCAGCCCACAAGGGTGTTGCACCACTTCCAACTGTCAGCGGGCACAGGGAACTGGCCCTATCCTCACCAGAGGACCTCACACAGGACTTTGAGGAGATGAAGCGTGAGGAGAGGGGTTTGTTGGCTGAACAAAGTGACATAGGACTAGGAGAGAAACCACTCCCTATAGATACTACCACAGAGGTACTCCCAAGTACAGCTTTCCAGGAAACACAACCCTGTGTCACAGGACTACAGCCAGAAGAGCATGTGATAAAAGAGAAAGAGGTTGTTCCAGACATCCCTGTGGAACAGGGCAGCAAAGACAAAGGCCCAGACTCTGGGGCTGAAACAGAGGAAGAGAAAGACACCTGGGAGGAAAAGAAGCAGAAGGAAGCAGAGAAGCTTCCAGATAGAGCTGAAGCCAGAGAGGAAAGTGAACTGGATGTAAAAGAGGACGTGATAGAAAAGGCTGAGGTAGAAGAAATGGAGGAGGTTCACCCTTCAGATGAGGAGGAAGAGGAAGAGACAAAGGCTGAGAGTTTTTACCAAAAACATATGCAGGAAGCCTTGAAGGTAATCCCAAAGGGCAGGGAGGTTCTCGGGGGCCAGGAACTGGGACTTCAGGGCAAGGCCCCTGAGAAGGAGACTTCGTCATTCCTAAGCAGCCTGGCCACACCTGCAGGAGCCACCGAGCATGTCTCTTACATCCAGGATGAGACAATCCCTGGTTACTCAGAGACTGAGCAGACCATCTCTGATGAGGAGATCCATGATGAGCCAGAGGAACGCCCAGCTCCACCCAGATTCCCTACAAGTATGTATGACCTCTCTGGGCCTGAAGGTCCCAGCCCCTTTGAAGCCGGCCAGCCTGCAGAGACTGCCATCCCTGTCACCTCGAGCAAAGGTTATGGAGCACCTGAGACTGAACTCACCTATCCCCCCAACATGGTTGCTGCCCCTTTGGCTGAAGAGGAACATGTGTCCTCAGCCACTTCAATCACTGAGTGTGACAAGCTTTCATCCTTTGCCACATCAGTGGCTGAAGACCAATCTGTGGCTTCACTCACAGCTCCCCAGACAGAAGAGACAGGCAAGAGCTCTTTGTTGCTCGACACAGTTACAAGCATCCCCTCCTCCCGCACTGAAGCCACTCAGGGCTTAGACTATGTGCCATCAGCTGGTACCATCTCACCCACTTCTTCACTGGAAGAAGACAAGGGCTTCAAATCACCACCCTGTGAGGACTTCTCTGTGACAGGGGAGTCAGAGAAGCGAGGAGAGGTCATGGGGAGAGGCTCGGCTGGGGAGAGAGCTGTGGAAGAGGAAGAAGAAGCGAGGGCAAGTGTAGAGATATCTGAGAAACTTCACACTCAATATGGAACCCCAATGTTTGATACCCCTGGGCATGCTCTACATCCAGGGGAACCAACCCTTGGAGAAGTGGAGGAGCGGTGCCTCAGCCCAGATGACAGCACAGTGAAGATGGCTTCTCCTCCGCCATCTGGCCCACCCAGTGCCACCCACACACCCTTTCATCAGTCCCCAGTGGAAGAAAAGTCTGAGCCCCAAGACTTTCAAGAAGAAGAGTCCTGGAGAGACACTAAGCATACACCAGGTGTGAACAAGGAAGGTGCTGCAAAGCAGACAGTCAAGCCAGGGCCTGAAGAGGGTACACTAGAGAAGGAGGAGATGGTGATACCTCCCAGGAGCCCTAAGACCCAGGAAGCACCTGTCAGCATTGTTGGGGGACAAACAGGCTGCACCATTCAACTGTTGCCAGAACAGGACAAAGCAATAGTCTTTGAAACCATGGAGGCAGGAATTGGGCTCCCAGGCCCAATTCTGGAGGCAGAAGCCCTTCCCAGAGAATTGAGGACATCACTTCAAGAACCTGGTGAACCTCAAAAAGAAGTGCTCCAGTTCCCTGACCAAAGCCTGTCTCCTGAAGATGCAGAGTCCCTTTCTGTCCTCAGCGTGGTCTCCCCAGATACTGCCAAACAAGAGGCCACTCCCAGGTCTCCCTGTGGTCTGACAGAACAGCACCTACATAAAGATCTTTGGCCAGAGGCATCTCCAGAAGACACGCAGTCACTCTCTCTCTCAGAAGAAAGTCCCAGCAAGGAGACCTCTCTGGACATCTCTTCAAAGCAGCTCTCTCCAGAAAGCCTCAGCACCCTCCAGTTTGGGGAGCTAAGCCTAGCAAAAGAAGAAAAGGGGCCTCTAATGCAGGCTGAGGACATCTCTCACCACCTAGCTCCTATGTCTATTCCAGAGCCCCATGCTGCCACAGTGTATCCTACCACAGATGGCATCACAGGATACTCTGCACAGACTGATATCATAGAGAGCCCTGACGAAAAATTACCTGCCAGCTCTTTCTCTCACACTACATTGTCAGGAGATGGGAAGCAATCACCTGGGGTAATCACAAGCCCTGGTGAACACATTTTGACATCTGACAGCTCCCTCACCAAGAGTCCTGAGTCTTTGCCAAGCCCTATCATGGAGGACATTGCCATGGAGTGGGAAGGTAAAGTTGAAGGGTGGAAAGAGAGAGCTCCGGAGCAGAAGGACAAGGAACCTGAGCCAAAAGATGAAGACCTACAGCAGGACAAAACTTTGCAGCAGAAAGATATTGTTGTAGAACAGAAGGATACTGCCATACACCAGAAAAATGAGGCCTTAGAAGAAAAGAATAAGACTATGGAACAGCAGGATAAGGCTTTAGAACAAAAAGGCAGAGACTTAAACCAAAAAGAAGCAGCTCTAGAACAGAAGGATAAGTGCCTAGAACCTGAAGACAAAGACTTAGAACAAAAAGACAAGACCCTGGAACAGAAGGACAAGATCCCAGAAGAGAAAGACAAGGCTTTAGAACAAAAGGACACAACCCTACAACAGGACCAGGCCCTAGAACCAAAAGACAAAGAACAAAATCATAGAGATTTAGAACAAAAAGACAAGGTCTTAGAACAGAAGGATAAGATCCTGGAAGAGAAAGATAAAACCTTAGAACAAAAAGTACAAGACTTTGAACATAAAGACAAGGCTTTAGAGGACAAGGTCCCTGAACTTAAAGGTAAAGGCCTTGAACAGACAGACAGAACCCCTGAACAGAAAGACAAGGCCCAGGAACAGAAGGATGAGGCCTTAGAAAAGAAAGATCAGGACTTTGAACAAAAGTATTGGGCCTTAGAGAAGAAGGATGAAGCCTTAGAACAAGACAATAAGGCTGTTGAACAGAAAGATAAGGTTCTAGAAGAAAAGGACAAATTGCAGGGGCAGGAGAACTTTGTGCAGGAGGATAAAACCATGAAACCAAAGGAGACAATCCTAGAGAAAAAGTCTCCAGAAAAGGTCAAGGCTGTGAAACAGAAGGAAGAAGCTGTTCTGGAGAAGACCAAAGCTCTGGGGCTAGAAGACAGCCCAGTACAGGAGGACAAGGCCCAAGAGGAGGAAGAAGAGAAGTACTGGAAGGAGCAGGATATGGTCCAGGAGTGGCAAGAAACATCTCCAACCAGAGGGGAGCCCATTGGAGAACAGAAAGAGCCTGTCCCAGCACGGGAGGGCACCTCTTCTGAGCAGGAGGTCAGATATTGGCAGGGCAGAGAAGATGTGGCCCTGGAACAAGACACATACTGGGGGGAGCTGAGCTGTGAGAGGAAGGTCTGGTTCCCTCATGAGCCAGATGGCCAGGGTGCCCACTCACGGTACACTGAGGAACGAGAAAGCACGTTCCTTGATGAGGGGCCAGATGAGCAAGAAGTGCCCCCACTGCAGCACACACCCCAGAGTCCCTGGGCCTCAGATTTCAAGGATTTCCAGGAGCCCCCACCACAGAAGGGGCTGGAGGTAGAGCGCTGGCTTGCTGAGTCACCAGTTGGTCTGCCATCAGAGGAAGAAGACAAGCTGACCCGCTCTCCCTTTGAGATCATCTCCCCTCCAACCTCCCCACCTGAGATGGTTGAACAGAGGGTTCCTTTGGCCCCAGGACAAGAAAGCCCTATTCCAGAGACTAAGCCCATGCCACCCACGAGGAAGGAACCCACCACTCCCTCATGGCTGGCTGACATCCCACCATGGGTGCCTAAGGACAGGCCCCTGCCCCCTGCACCCCTTTCCCCAGCTCCGGCTCCCCCCACACCTGCCCCAGAACCACATACTCCTGCACCCTTCTCCTGGGGCGTAGCTGAATATGACAGTGTGGTGGCTGCAGTGCAGGAGGGAGCAGCTGAGTTGGAAGGTGGACCATACTCCCCCCTGGGGAAGGACTACCGCAAGGTTGAAGGGGAAAGGGAAGAAGGTGGGTCTGAGGCTGGAACTGGGGCTCTGGACAGCAGCCCCCACATCCCAAAGGTCCCAGAGGCCAGTGAGAGCCCTGCCACCAAGGACACCGAGCAGACTGAACTAGAACAGAGAGAGCCCACACCCTATCCAGATGAGAGAAGCTTCCAGTACGCAGACATCTATGAGCAGATGATGCTTACTGGGCTTGGCCCTGCATGCCCCACTAGGGAGCCCCCACTGGGAACAGCTGGGGACTGGCCCCCATGCCTCTCAACCAAGGAGGAGGCTGCTGGCCGAAACACATCTGCAGAGAAGGAGCTTTCCTCTCCTGTCTCACCCAAGAACCTCCAATCTGACACCCCAACCTTTAGCTATGCAGCCCTGGCAGGACCCACTGTACCTCCAAGGCAAGAGCTTGAGCCAGACCCAAGTGTGGAGCCCAGCCTCACCCCACCTGCAGTTCCCCCCAGGGTTCCTATTCCCCAGAGCAAAGGTCCAAGCCCCCCTCTTAATGGTAACCTCCTAAGCTGTAGCCCAGATAGGAGGACCCCATCCCCCAAAGAATCAGGTCAGGGTCACTGGGATGACAGCACTAGTGACTCAGAGCTGGAGAAGGGTGCTCGGGAACAGCCAGAGAAAGAGACTCAGTCCCCAAGTCCCCCTCTCCCCATCTCTGCGGGTCCCCCCACATTGTGGCCTGAAACTGAGGCACGTACCAGTCCTTCTTCAGACTCACACCTGGGTCCTGCCCGACCCAGCCTGGACTTCCCTGCTTCAGCCTTTGGCTTCTCCTCATTGCAGCCTGCTCCCCCACAGCTGCCCTCTCCAGCTGAACCTCGCTCAGCACCCTGTGGCTCCCTTGCCTTCTCTGGGGACCGAGCTCTGGCCTTGGCTCCAGGACCCCCAACCAGACCCCGGCATGATGAGTACCTGGAAGTGAGTAAGGCCCCCAGCCTGGACTCCTCACTGCCTCAGCTCCCATCACCCAGCTCTCCTGGGGCCCCTCTCCTCTCCAGTCTGCCACGACCTGCATCACCAGCCCTGTCCGAAGGGTCCTCCTCTGAGGCTACCACACCTGTGATTTCAAGTGTGGCTGAATGCTTCCCTCCAGATCTGGAGGCTGCAGAAAGGGGCCCTGGAGAGCTGGATCCAGGAATGGAACCATCTGCCCATAGTCTCTGGGACCTCACTCCTCTGAGCCCAGCAGCTTCAGCTTCACTGGCCTTGGCCCCAACTTTGGCTCCAAGCCTGCCTGGAGACATGGATGATGGCACCCTGCCCTGCCGCCTGGAGTGCTCAGGAGAAGCCACCATGGAGCCAAGCCCCTTCCAGGGCCCCTCTGGGGATTGTGCAGCCAATGGCCCAACTGAAGTCGGCTCTAATCTCCCAGGCCCTGCCACAACCAAGACCGGGAAAGAAGAGGCTGAGGCCTGTCCTGCTTGGGAACGAGGGGCCTGGCCTGAAGGAGCTGAGAGGAGCTCCCGGCCTGACACACTGCTCTCCCCTGAGCAGCCACTGTGTCCTGGAGGGCAATCTGTTGGTCCACCCTGCAGTTTGTCTCCTGAAGTTGAGCCTGGACCTCAGGGATGTGCTGCTGCTGAGCCCCGGCCCCACTGTGGAGAGCTCTCCCCATCCTTCCTGAACCCACCTCTGCTCCCATCCACAGATGACAGTGACCTTTCAACTGAAGAAGCTCGGCTGGTAGGAAGAGGGGGGCGGCGCCGGGCAGGGGCACCAGGGGCCACAGGGGGCCCTTGCCCTGTGGCTGATGAGACACCCCCTACATCAGCCAGTGACTCAGGCTCCTCACAGTCAGATTCTGATGTCCCCCCAGAAACTGAGGAGTGTCCATCCATCACAGCTGAGGCAGCCCTTGACTCAGATGAAGATGGTGACTTCTTGCCTGTGGACAAAGCTGGGGGTGTCAGTGGAACTCACCATCCCAGACCTGGTCATGACCCACCTCCCATCCCCCAGCCAGACCCCCGCCCATCCCCTCCTCGCCCTGATGTATGCATGGCTGATCCTGAGGGGCTCAGCTCAGAGTCTGGTAGGGTAGAGAGGCTACGAGAAAAGGAGAAGGTACAGGGGCGAGTAGGGCGCAGGACCCCAGGCCGGACCAAGCCAGCATCCCCTGCACGGCGTCTGGATCTTCGGGGAAAACGTTCACCCACCCCTGGTAAAGGGCCTGTAGATCGAGCATCCCGGGCCCCACCCCGACCACGCAGCACTCCAACCCAGGTCACCACAGCAGAGGAAAAGGATGGACACAGCCCTATGTCCAAAGGCCTAGTCAATGGACTCAAGGCAGGAGCAAGTAAGTGTATCATGAAAAGTGGAAAGATCGTGGGTTGGGGCTGGGTGTGGACTGGTCAAAGGCTCTAGCAGTGGAGAGAGGGGGGAATGGTTGCCAAAAGTGTTCTGCTTTTCCTCTACATTGTGTCCTGGCTTGTCTCTACAGTGACCTTGAGTTCCAAAAGTGGCTCTGGCTCCCCTGTATATGTAGATCTCGCCTATATCCCGAATCATTGCAGTGGCAAGACTGCTGACCTTGACTTCTTCCGCCGAGTGCGTGCATCCTACTATGTGGTCAGTGGGAATGACCCTGCCAATGGCGAGCCAAGCCGGGCTGTGCTGGATGCCCTGCTGGAAGGCAAGGCCCAGTGGGGGGAGAATCTTCAGGTGAGTAGCAAGAGATGCAAAGGAAGTATTCTGATCAAGGCTCTCTCAGATACAACAGTGGAACACAGCCCTTATTCATAAAGACAGGGCCTTTCTATGGGCAGCAGAACTACTTCTGAGACCATAAGGTACCCCTTCCCCCTCACTTACCTTTCCTTCATGTTCTCACATCTGGCATGTCTTGTCTCCCCCCTAGGTGACTCTGATCCCCACTCATGACACAGAGGTGACTCGTGAGTGGTATCAGCAGACTCATGAGCAGCAGCAGCAACTGAACGTCCTGGTCCTGGCTAGCAGCAGCACTGTGGTCATGCAGGATGAGTCCTTCCCCGCCTGCAAGATTGAGTTCTGAAAGAACCAACCTCCCTTCCCCAAGGATCTGGTCCCCCAGCTCCTGTAGAGAATGGCTACTGTTGAGTCCTTTGGGGTTGAGGGAAATGAAGCTGGGGGTGGGTGGGTGACCATGTCGTCTTCTGGGGATTTGGGCTGGGCTAAACGGGAGGCCTTATCCCTCCCTCATCCATTCCCGAGGGGTTAAAAGCCAAAGGTAACAAGGATAGGATAGGAGGAGGGTAAAAATCTCAGATAGGTCATCCAATGTCTGAGAACCCTGGAGTGATGCCCTCTCCTAGCACTGCCAAATACCGGTAATGGATGAGGAATGAGGATGGGTTTCAGAAAGCAACCTCTTTCCTCATGGAAAAAGATCATATCCCCCAGCCCAGAGACCTCTTTATCTATTTATTTAGCATCCCAGGAAAGATTTCCAATAATTTATGTGACCTTGGGGTAGGATACTGTCAGGGAAGTGCCCAGAGCTGCACCCTTTCCTCCATCTCCCATCAGCTTAGCCACCAGGGTCTGGGTTCTAGCAAGGGCCTGGGGGTACACCGCTGCTACACTGTCCTATTGCTTCCCTCAGTATCTGAATGTCTCAATCCAAAACTTGAAACTCTTTAAAAGAGAATAACAGATTGATAAGCAGAGAAAGGAGCTTATCTCCCAGCCCCTGCTTCATACCATTCAACATCCTAGAGCAGTGCCCAGACCAGGCCAACTGGGCAGCACAAAAGGACAAGGAGAGCCCCAGCCCCAATCCCAGAATTCTTCAAGCTCCCTGACTCTTTGGAGCTTTCACCCACCCTATTCCAGTTATCCTGATCCCTTCCCATCCCCTGCTTGGCTTCTCTGCATGTGGTCATCTGCTGTGGCCTGGTGTGTAATGGGTTATAAAAATAACTCACTGCTTGACATCCCAACATTTGACACCTCAGCCATGTGTGACTCCCCCAACATTCCCCTCTGCCATCCTGCAGCTGAAATGGGAACACTGGCTGCCTCTCCAAACCCAAACTCTTGGACGGAGGATCTGGGAGGTGGAGGCCAGGCCAGAGGACTTGGGGAAAATGAGAGGGAGGAAGGGAAAAGGGAGACAAAGCGGAGCTTTAGCTTAACTCCTACAGAATGAAGTGAAAACAGGCTCAAAATACCATCCCAGGAGAGACCCTCATCCCAAGTAAGCCAGTAAGTAGCCCTACCAGACGACTGCTGGACTGGAAAACCCAGACGCTGATAGTCACTTGATATCACCGGGGCTTGCCTTCTCTGCCAAGCGACTGGGAAACCAAAAAAATGAGCCCACCTTGTGTTCTTCCTAGCTCCCACCCTACCCATGATGCTGTGCTCTGCTCCTCCCCCACACTTCCCTGCTATCGTTCCCAGCTGCTGTAACAGAGCCGCCTCCAAGTCTAACAATAAATCAAGTTCATTGCAGATGGTGTAGTCCTGCTTAGGCTTTTTTGGATTCTACATGTTACTTAGTTGCTGGGCCCTGGTTTCCACCTCTTTGCTTTAACAGCATTGTTATTTATCTTGGCAGACTCCTTTGATTACTGGACCCATGGGAGCCAGAGAACACAGTTAGGGTGGGTAAAGGGAAAAATAGATATAAAAGTCAGCATCATTTCTGAAAATGGGTGAGAATGTCAGTATGGAAGCCTAGAGTGGGAATGTTCATTTGATTTGGGGGAGGGAAGAGCAGGGCATTCCTGGGAAGGAGATCTGCATTCTATGAGGTCAAGAGCTAAGGACCAATAACCACTCTGCATAGGGAACACTGAAGAGGTAAGGAGTTGACAAGACCTAACAGACTCAAAGATGACTGATGTTTGAAATACCCCATCATTATGACTATTTCCCCAGAGAAGTAAACGCTGGAGTCTACCTTTTGCATTTACTGTCCCCATGGAGTAAACATTTATATGTTCTCCCCCCTCCAGTAAAACCCTTTATAGTCCTAGTATGCCAGGCGTGGCCAAGTTATGAATGTGCATATATGGAGTGGAGGATATTCCAGTAATCCTAGTGTTGTGGGCTCACCCAATGTAAGGATGTCAACAGGGCAGAGAAAGGGCATAGCCTCTTTATATCAACTCTTCCTAACATGCACTAGAAGGCATCAGAATGAAAAATTAAGAGGGTGATTCCAAGGATTTGGTGAGAAGTATGCACCTTCTGCTGTTTCACAGAGCTCAAATCTCTTTCACTCCTGCTACCCAACCCTCTGCTCAGTAAAGGGGCCTTTTAGGATGCTGATCGCTATATGTTTACAGCCCATTCCTGTTCAAGTATAGTGACTTTTGACTTATTCAATTACAGACATGATTGACTCACAGTCATATTTGTTTCTTAAATTCACAAGAATTTAACATCACCACCACCATCATTCTCATTATTTCATATTTATTGAGCACTCATAATGTTCCGGCCCCTGATTCCAATGATTGACTGCATCACCCTCCTATCCACTCCCACTCCCATCCCCAGATCTTTGGGAAAAGCTTCATAAATCACATCTGGCCCTAAAGACACATGATCTAGAACAAACTTATTGGGGACCCTGGAGTGTTTGGTCTTTGGCCAGCCTGTCCCTGGCAAAGTACAGAAATTATATACATATATATAATATATATATACACATATCATATATATTATATATATATATATATAAAATCTTTGCTCATGTCTGTACAGTATTGATCCCTGCTAATTGCTTAAAATAGAACCTGATTCTCTCTACTACAGCATCTCCTAAGTCAAACGGCCCCACAACAAAAGGAGGCCTGGTTTCACAGATTGCCCAAAAATCTCCCAGAGCATTTTAAGTAGTTACTCTGAAGCCGCAGAGATTCTAATACCTATTCTTCCTAGAGTGTCTGCCCAGAGGAACAGAACTGGGGCAGAAGGAGCACTTGGAGATGATATGGAAATACCCATAAGCCCAGTCTAAAGATTAGTGATCATGGCAGATTTTTTTTTGGAGAAGGGAACTCTTACTTTCCAGACATTTCAGATGGTCATTTTGGGCCCATCTGAAGATTGCTAGTAAAAATAAGAGTTCTCCTGAATGCACACATGGTCTAAGGATAACTTGAAAGGCTGTGAATATTTCCCCAGAAAAATAAAGACCCTGCAACCCTCCATTTTACATATGCTGTCCCCCTAGTTGTGTCGTCAGCAGTTAAGTGGCATATCCTTAACAATCAAGGATTTCTGTGATTGGAGTAGGTTAGGTAATGATAGACTGACCCTCCCCAATGAAACCCTATTCAAGTTTAATGACTGAGTGAGGAGCCAATGACTGCTTTGAAAGTGAAACTGGCTTTTCTCCAAACACAGCTCTGGCACACGTATGCTTCATGACAAAGAGACTGCTTCCTGTGACACCTCTGGTGTGAGCCAACGCCTCACTCTGGCCAATGAGTTAGCCAACAGAAAAGGTTGCTGGCTCAAATGGCTGTTACAGTAATGACACCAGTAATGAGAAAATGATTAATTAGATGTTGCTGGTGGAAGGGGTGAGTGCTGGTTATGGGCTTGAGACACTTTGAGGATTGGATCACTAGACGTATACTAGGTCTGGGGAACATCCTCTCTAGGCAGCTGATCAGTTTCTTCAGAGACCACCCAAAACTGCTGATTAACCTCCTCAGGGACCTCCTGGGCCTGAAGATCAATCTTTCCAGGGAGCTGCTTTTGGGATGGTTTATCAACTTCAGGGATGTCTTGAGACAACAGATTGGTTACAGAAACCTCCTGGGCCAGCCTGCCAACTTCCACAGAGAACTCCTGACATCGCTGGCTGATCTCTTCAGGAATCTCTTGGGTGGGCCTGTCAACTTCCACAAGGCCCCCACACCCTACAGGAAACCTATGGACCAGCCTGCCAACTTCCACAGGGACTCCTTGGCATGGTTGGCTGGCCTCTTCAAGATTCTCCTGGCAAAGCTGGAAAACGTCCTCAGAGACTTCCTGGCATAGTTGGCTGGCCTGGCTTGACTGACATGTATGATTAATAGCATCATGATTCTTCAGCAATGGCTGGCTGATGTGAGGGACCTCCTGGCATGACTGGCTGACCTCCTCAGTAACGTTCTGACTTTCTGGCTGGCTCGTTTCCACAGGTGGCTCCTGAGGGGACTGGTTTGGTTCAAAATGCTCTTGCTGTCCTTCTATGGGAAGCTCTTGTATTCTATCCCCAGGGGTCTCCTGGAGCAGTCCAAGGCATTTACTTTCTTCAGTCACATGTGCATTTAGGGAGGGTTGATCAATGAAGCCAAAATGAGAGTTGCCATCTACTGCAGTAGGAGAGGAAGGACCAGCACTAGACACAGTGCTAGAAGGGCCACTGCTATCTGTAAAGCAAAGTCACAAGACCAAGTAAGACTAGCTGGAAAAATAGGCTCTATTTATACATACAGTTCAAATGCTAGAACAAATGGCCTATGCTACTCATGTTTTGGGGAAAGAGGGTCTGAATTCTTCTTAAGTTTGTTTGGCAGAGACTCAGTTTGCCTACTCAGGAACTGTCACCTTGGCTTAATATATACTATAGAAATAACTCTAAGGTTCATCTAAGATTCAGGAGAGATGAGGCCTACTTCATCTGGTTCTTTTCACAAATATACTCCCATCCCAACTCCAAAATCCCATAGCTCCTCATTCCTACTTTGGATGCATATGAACATGTTAGCCCAGTCATTCATAATTAAAGTTTCATATCAAATTCCAATTTTTTAAAAAATACAAATTTCCAGTTTCCATTTCCAGAGATCCTAATTCTATAGGTCTAGTGTAAAGGTATGGGTGGGACAAGGCGGGGGGTAGGATAAGGACAACGTCATTTTGTTGAAACACTACTAATTGAATCTCATGTAAACTTTTTGTTAAGAATCACTTCAATCATGTATTTCTCATTTATATTCCAGAGATAAGTACTAGGTAAGAGAATGTAGAAAAATAAATCAGAACACTAGGAAACAAAATGGTTTACCCAAAGAGGGAAGATTGCCATGGAATCTCCAAATGGCAGAAGTTCTTAATTAGACTTTTTTTTTGGGGGCGGGGGTGTCACTGTCATCTTGGAAGGCTCTAGTGAAAGACATGAATCATCTTCCAGGAAAAAATGTACATATGCAAACATTCACATTAATCTTTACATACGATTTCTGGAGCTCATAGACTATAACCTGAAGGCCATCCATGGACTCAAGGTTAAGACCCTCTAGGTGTTAGGACATAGAGTGTTACTAGAGTACACATGCTATATACATAGAAAACACAAAAACTAATTCCTAGACCCTGTTGAAACACTCCCAACTGAATCTGATCGAAACCTTTTGTTGAGATTAATGAAGACCTTAGAGTTTTCAATTATACTATAGGATGATGATAGCCCCGAGCTCTATTTCTTCACTGATCTCTAGTAAGGAACTAAGCCACTTTCCTTTTTGTAAGTGTACATGTTTATTAATGGTATTTCAACTATTTATTAAAGCACTGTGGTATCAATAAGGATAGATTCTGGAAATAGGAGACACCTGAAGAGAACATGGGAAAGTTGGCATGTCAGCCATTGCATTTAAGATCTGTTAGTTATCTCTCTCTCCCTTCTATAAAGGAACAGAGCAGACATGCTTCAAGCAGAAAAAAAGAGGAACATGGTTTGGAGCCAATGAGGTTTTAAAACATGGAGCCTATTTCTTACATAAATAAACAGCCCACAAAGAAGATGTTTACTAATGAAGGTCTGATACCTGAGGAAAAAGAAGGAGAAAGAAAAATTGTTAGTTGAACTTTCTCCAAGTACAGAAATGGCCTAGTGGTCTCATTTAGGCAAATCAAAGAGGTCAGATAGAAACAGAAGTGGGAGAAGGAGATTTCATAAACAATGCAAGAGAGATACAAAAGGGGCAAGGGCAAAGTGAATGCAGGATAGTCTAAAATTCAGAGGATGAATTCTTGGTGTCAGAGAGAAAAGTTTCTTCTCATATAGAGTGCCAGAAGAAGGCAAAATTGTACAACTGTTAACCCCAGTGCTGAAATATGAATCTTTGTTTTGGCCTGTCCCAGTAAAATAATGAAAGACAAGTTTTATCATCTCCATCATTCTCTACAGGTAGGATCGTAAGAAAAGGATTTTTCCCTCACTAGTGCTTCAGCCTATATCCCCACCTCCCATTACCATTGGTAGTTCCCCCTCCCTGCAGTCACTCTAAGAACTCCTTGTAGCTCCACTGTTCACATTGTTACCAAGAATATTTGGTGTTGCCAGGCACCAGTGGCTCATGCCTGAAATCCTAGCTACTCGGGAGGCAGAGATGAGGAGGATCACAGTTTGAAGCCAGCCCAGGCAAATAGTTTGCAAAACCCTATCTCAAAAATACCCAACACAAAAGAGGGCTGACAGAGTGGGGGAAAAAAGAAAAGAAAAAAGAATAATTGGTGCTAATCTAGAGATAATAAAGATGATTGTGGAAAAAGCAGCACCTGAATTTGAGCTAACACTTGAGAACAAACAGCTTGAGAGACGGGACATGTAGAAATGAGTAGCAGAACTGAGCTTCATGCTCCCAGCTTTTCTGTATATCTGACCTCCTAGTCATCTTTACTAGAGAAAGCTTTAGAGAAACCAGAAGAGGATCCAAGAACAGTCTCCATTTCTTTTCTCCTGAAAGAGCCCTGTGTGTCATTGTCTTTGAGGAGTCTCTCCAATGAGGCTGGAGGACAGAGGTGAAGAGAAACTTTCCTTTCACCTTGGAAACAGCAGATGAAACTGTGGTATCTCTGTCTGGTTCTCTGTCTCCCTCTTTCTCAATAGGGTTTTGCTGTGTAGGCTAGGGTGATCCTCCTGCTTCTGCCTTCTCCTGGAATTACAGCCATGAGCCACCACACCTGGTCATTCCTGGTTTTTAATTCTCATGTTCCCCTCATGCAGAGTTCCCTGATCCATGAATTTCTCCATCCCTCTTGCTTTTTGTCTAGGGAGTTATAAAAGGTTTACTTACACCAAGGGGGCTTTTCAGAGCGCTGCTGGAGTTGCAGGGGAGGTGAATGAAGAGCACGGGGTGGGGAAAACGGGCTATCTGAGGCCTGGTTGCTGTGCATAGAGTCAAAGAGGGCTATGTAGGTATGAGAGGGGAGACAAAGAAGAACAAAAGGCACTTGAAGAAGAATGCAAGAGTCACAGGTTCTCAATATAAGTTAAGGTCAACTTACCTTTCCTTAGGCTGTCCTAGGGACCCTTCACCCAAATTGTTTTCAGTTTTTTAAACTTCGTATTATATACTTTTTCAAATATATATTTTAAGTAGTTGAAAGATTAGCATAATCAAAATCACATACTCATCTCCTAGATTTACACATTAACATTTTACCATTTTTGCTTCATCTATATATCCATGCTGAAGTTCTTTAAAATAAATGACAAACATTATAAAACATTTCACCTCTGAATCCTTCAATATGCATCTCTAAAATATTTGTTCCTATATAGCCACTTTCCATTGATAAACTAAGCAAAATTAAAAATAATTCCCTAATACCATTTCAATATCCAGTCCATAGTCGAAGACACTCATTTAGGTCTGGCAGCATGGTTCAAGTGCTATAGTGACTGCCTAGCAAGCTCAAGAACCTGAGTTCAAATCCCAGTAATGCAAAACAAATTTCCCCATTTATTTCCAAAATGCCTTTTTTTTTCCTGTGCTAGTGAATCACTCCAGCATTCCTGAAAAAAATTTCACTTGGTGTATAATTTTTTTAATGAACTGTTGGATTTGCTTTGCTAGCATTTTGTTGAGGATTTTTGTCTCTATGTTCATAAGGGGTTTGGGCCTGTAGTTTTTTTTTCCTATGGTATCTTTGACTGGGTTGTGATATCGGGGGTAATGCTGACTTCGTAGAATGAGTTAGGGCTTTTCACTTGAACTTTGAGCCCTTTTCACTATGGTTATTCTGGAAATAGGGTCTCACTTTTTTGCCCAGCCTGGCATAGACTGTGATCCTCCTATTTTAAGATTCCTGCCAGTGCTGTGATTACAGGTGTATACTACCATGCTCAGCTTTTTTCCACTGAGATAAGGTTTCCCAAACTTTTTTAGTGGGGCTGAGATCTCCTGATCTCAGTCTCCTGTGTACCTTGGGATGACAGGTGCCAGACACTGTGCCCAGCTATTGGTTGAGATGGGGTCTCACAAACTATTTGTCCAGGCTGCCTTGAACCATGATCCTACCAATCTCAGCCTCCCAAGTAGCAAGGATTACAGGCATGAATCATCAGTGTTTGGCCTCTTCTATTTTTGGGGAGGACTAGGGTTTAAACTCAGGGCTTCATACTTACAAAGAGGGTACTCTATTGCTTGAGCCACACCTCCAGTCCATTTTGCTCTGGTTATTTTGGAGATGGGGTCTTGAGAACTATTTTCCTGGGCTGGTCTTGAACTGAGATCCTCCTGATCTTAGCTTCCCAGGTAGCTAGGATTATGGTGTGAATCATGGTGCCCGGCTTCTATTTTTTTTTTTTTAAAGCATGAGAAGGACTGGGGTTCATTCTTTAAGTGTCTGGGAAAATACACCAGTGAAGCTTGAACTTTTCTTTGGTAGGAGGTTTTGGTTTGTTTGTTTTTGTTTTTGTTTTGAGTATATGTAGCATAGGCTTGCCTCAAACTCATAATCCTCTGCCTCAGCCTCCAAGTACTGGAATTACAGATGTGGGTCCCCACATCTGGCACTTTCTGCCTTTTTATTGAAGGGCTTAATCTATTAATATTTAAAGCAATTTACATTATCCTGTCATTTTGCTATTTGTTTTCAATATACCTATTTTGCTCCTCCTTTACTCCTTTCCTCCATTACTGCCATCTTTTGTGTTTTATTTTTTATAGTACACTGTTTTGATTCCTTCTTAATTATTTTTCTATATATATTTTAAGGTATTTTCTTAGTGGGAAACATGGATAACAATTATCCTAAATTTATGACAATCTAGTTTTTAAAATGGCAATTTAGCTTCAATAACATACAAAATCTTTGCTGCTGTAAAGCTCAGTCTTTACTGATATTGTTATTGTCATAATTCATATCTTTCTATATTGTGTGCCAATTAATATAGACATAATGATTGTTTTATACATTTGTGTGTTAAATCAGATATGAAGTAAAAAAGAGGAGCTACAAATTAAAAAATACAATCATGCTAGTTTTTATATTTGCCATTGTGGTTTTGTTGGGGTTTTTTTTGTTTTGTTTTGTTTTTGCAGTGCTGGTGATTGAACAGGACCTTACACATGCAAGACAAGCATTCTTTCACTGAGCTACAACCCCAGCCCACCAATGTAGTCACTTTGGCAGAGTTCCTTATTATTATTATTTTTAGTCTGACTCCAAGTAACTATCTAGTGTCCTTTTACTTCAGCCTAAAAGACTCCTTTTAGCATTTCTTGAAGGGTTAATCTTCTAGTGACAAACTCTTTTAACTTTTGTTTTTCTGGGAATGTTTCTCCTTCATTTTTGGGCAGTTTTGAAATTATAGAATTCTTGGTTGACAGGTTTTTATGTTCATTTGTTTGTTTCTTTGGATTTTTTTTTGCAGTGTTGGAGACTGAACTTAGCATCTTGAAACTGCAAAGCATGTGCTCTATCACTGACTATATCCTCAACCCCAACAGTTTTTTCTTTTAGCACTATAAATGTGTCATCCCTCTACCTTCTAGCCACCATGATTTCTGATAGAAATTGGCCATTAATGTTTTTAAAGATCCTTTGTATGTGACAAGTTGCTTCTCTGTTACTGTTTTCAAAATCCTCTCTGCCTTTATTTTTTTCAACACAGAGGCTTAACTCAGGGCTCACACTTGCTAGGCAGGTCCTTTATCACTTGAGTCATGGGACCAGCCCTCTGTCTTTGAATCTTAACAATTTGAATATAATGTGTCAATATGCATCTCTTTGCATATATCCTTCTTGGAGCTGGTTGAGCTAATTGGAAATATAAATTCTTGTCTTTATTAAATTTGACATTACTTCTTCAAATGTATTTTCTGCCTCTTCCTCTCTAATTTTCCTTTGAGAATAAGGTCTGCTCTGCCCTGTCTGGAAACAGGGACTACAGTCTCATACTGAGAACGTGGGCTGCTATCTTTAAAACCATCACCAAACCAAGAAAGAGGGTAGGAAAGGGCAATAAAGGTGCTACAAAGCTTTTTTCTTTGTGTGTGTGGGTGTGTGTGTTTGTGTGTGTGTTGTTGTTGCTGGGGATCAAACTCAGGCCTCACATATGCTAGAAAAATGCTCTACCACTGAACTACATCTCCAGCCCAGGTTGCCTCTTTTTTTGGGGAACTGGGGTTTGCACTCAGGACCTTGAACTTGCTAGACAAACACTCTGCCACGTGAGCCATGCCTCCAGCTCCTGTCTCTTTCTTGACTCAGCATTTTCCTTCTTGCTATAAACCTCTGTTTTCCAGCATTGTAACAAAGTTCATTCTGATAGTTTTTGCTTTATTTTTTTTAAGTGTTTCTGTGGAAAAAACACTCTTGGAGCTAATTACCACTAATTTTTACACTTAGATATCTGGTCCATATGGAGTTTATCCTGTTATATAGTGTGAAATAAGGATTCAGTTTTAATTTTTGTCAAATGGTTATTTAGATAGCCCTACTTTACTTATTTAAAAAATTAGCTTTCACCAAGTATTTTGAAGGGCTAACTTCATCTGTTTCTAGATTTTCTACTTTGTTCCCCCTTGGTCTATTTATTCATGTACCAAAGCTACACTGTTTTTATTGTAGACATGCTATACTTTTTCAGTACTGAGGTTTGAACTCAAGGCCTCATGCTTGCTAGGCAGGTGCTCTACCTGCCACTCCACCAGCTATGGAGAATTTCAGCATGTGGTAAGGCTAGTATTCTCTCATGGCTCTTCTTTTCAGGGTTTTCTTTGTTATTTTTGCCTATTTATTTTTCAATGAGAACTTCAGAATTGACTTGTATTTTTATTGGAGTACTATTAATTACATTGGGAAGGAGTAATATTCCTATGTTGTTTGGCCTATGTGACTGTACTTTTATTTATTTATTTTTAACAGTACTGGGGCTTGAACTCAGGGCCTTCACCTTGAGCCACTTCACCAGCCCTTTTTTGTGAAGGGTTTTTCGAGATAAGGTCTACAGAACTATTTACTTGGCTTTGAACCACAATCTTCCTGATCTCTGCCTCCTGAGTAGTTAGGATTATAGGTGTGAGCCACCGATGCCCAGCTGATTTGTACATTTTTCAAGTCTAGTTTTATGTCTTTGTGGAGTGCTTATCTTTTTAAATTTATTACTGTCTCATGTCCTAGGAATCATGGGCATGAAAGCAGGAGTACAAAATAAGATCATTCTCCATACCTGCTGATGCCTGAGCATGGGCATCAGTGTGGCGTTGACAGACTCTACTCAAGAACTCACTCACTTGATGTAAGGAAAGGGCATTATGCAGTGTTTCCAGGGGGTAGATGGTGGGCACCATGGAGCACCCTTCAAACCCTGTTGGAAAAGAGATAAGGCAAAGTCAATGTTATTCCTGCCAGATATACCCCAATTGGCCAAGGAAGCATGGAGTGTCCCTGAGAGCCATCAGGAAAGTCCGTGGCTTTTGGAGTATAGGGTATCCAAGATTTCTAGGAGAGGGAACTCTTCAGAGCCCCTGGGGAAGTCTTTATCTCACGTCCAGATTTCCTAAAATGTCTACCTGTTAAAGTATCCAGGTGAATCAAATCACCTCTCATCCTATCTATGGAGAACCTGTAATGTCCTATGGAAAAACCAACAGAACCCCAGTAGGGTAAGCACTAACATTGCTCTTATATTTTCTGGGGAAATAAAACAAGGGTCCAGAGGTAAGGGATGAAACTGTAGATCTAATATGAGGCAAGGAAGTCATGGAGCTGGGGAGAAACAGATTTCAGGTATCATGAACAACAACAACAACAACAAAAGATTAAGGAGGAGAGTGTAGAATCTTAGGAGGGGTTCATGCTAATTTGGAATGTGGGTAGGAAGGCTAGAATACTTGAATGCAAACTGAAGGGCATGCAGTACACATGAAGCTCAGCTGAGGAAAACCACATGCATGAACCGGGTAGGGGATGGAAGTTCTTTCTTGGTCATTTCCATCACATAAGTAAGCTTTTCCCTTCTACTCTACCAGAAGGCTCCAGACTTGTGAGAATCTCTGTACTCCATCAGGAAAATGAGGCAAACTTCATAAGGAAAAGAAGAAATACTAATTCTCGGCTGTAGACCCAATAATTCCAATGTAAGTCTACCAGTCTTGGTAGAGCCAATGGCAAAACTAAATATGCAACCTTATTCCATGGACTATGATGGGGAAAATGTTCCCACTGGAGAATCAAGAAACATGCATCCTAACCACTTTCTCTATACCCAATCTTTATGGGGCCTCCCCTATATCTCCTTAAAGAAACTAAGTGTAGACAGGATAGCAGTATTTCCATGAGTCTTAGCCTCCTGTTCACCAAGGACTAAAACCTATAATTCAAAATTATTATACCTGATCATTTTCTAAACTCTGGGCTTGGTTTGCCTCAAGAATTTAATTGAGGTTTCTGTGCCTCAGTTTCCCCCATAATCTAGTGTCAGGAGGGCAGAGGAGTCTCTAACTCCTTGGAGTGGTTAGAAAAATGTTTGGATTTGAAGATGGTGGTTGTAGAGGATTAGAGAGATAAGAGCAGATTCCAGGGCAAGAGATTATGACTACACTGAATAGAGGTGGGGAATGGGTAACAGAGAGCAGTGAGAAAGGGGAATAGGAAGGGGATGAGCAGCCAATGCTACAGCTACTAAGCAGCCTGGCCCCAATCCCAACCAAGCAACTAAACACAACCTTAGAGCAGATAGGAGAAAGGACTAGATGGGCTATCCTGCCAGAAGTGCAATAAGCAAAGCAATCAGTTCCAGCCAGGGCAGTGGCAGCAGCCAGCCTGTGGCAGGGGGTACCGTAGAGGCACTCGGGGTCATCCTGGCCTGAGCGCAGCCAGTTCCGGAAGAGGCGCAGGTGGTAGGAGCACTGGTGCAGGTGATGCGCCAGCGTGGCATCCAAGGAGACTGGCCGGCCCCTTGGGCAGTCAGAGGAAAAACTGCGCAGCAACCGGACCACAGGGTGCTGGTCATCCAGCAGCTCTGGAGGGGGTGGGTGGGGGCCACAGTAGGAAGCACAAAGATAAAGAGAAGAGGAAGAGACAATGAGGGGGGCACTAACTGGCAAAAGCTTTATTGGGAGGTGGGGGCCACTCAGATCCAAGGTGAGCTAAGAAAGAAGCAGAGATGGTCAGAGCCACTGGGCATCCCTTACAGGGAAGAAGAGTCTGGCATCACACAGTGAGACTCAAAAAGGGAATAATAAGACCTCATCAAACAACAAGACCCTCCCTTTCCTTCTTGAGCATAATTCAGGGCTTGCAGAAAGAAAGCAGTCACCTCATTCTGGATAGGGGTGACGGGTTGTTTATGGGGCTGGGAGACTTGGCTGGGCTCCAATGTCCCTGATCATTCTTGAACAAATTAATTAAGGCCCACTTCTCAAGCAAATGAATTTGTGAGGTCAAGATAGATATGAAAAGATTCAAGTCACTCAGAGAAGAGGGTCAAGGCCAGTAGTTGGTATCAAGATAAGTCTAAAGCTAAAAAGGCTCCTAAAGGCTCATGGCTAGGCCTCTGAGGCACTTTCTAAGATGGCCATAGAAAGAGCTGGTGCCAGCTTCCTGGCAGAGAAGACTGACAGGAAACCAGGTATAGGACTTCTTTGAAACAGTGCATGTTAAAAATGGAATTTGTTTTTGAAAATGCCAATATTGGCTAATCATCCTCTACTTTACTCTTGTTTAAATAAACTTTTTTTTAATGCATAAATCTCAGGACATGGGGAGACACTGTATCCATTAGAGGCTAAAATTAGCTTATTTATATTTTGTTTCCACTGTTGATGAGTCTAACTGCATTTTTTCAGCTGGCAAGTGGAAGCGCTTTGATTCTGAATCCCTCATTGTTTTTGCTGCTTGGCAAATTTCATGTATGCATGAGATTCAGCTTCAAAAGGTTGGAGACAGTGAAAGATACATGGTTGTGCATGGGGGGACCCAGGGGTATAAGAGGAACAACAGAAAGGTCTTGTGGGAAGATCTGGGGTCTTAAGACCTGATATGAGGATGGATAAGAACATGAGTACAGGATCTTGGTATAGAGAAGGTAGAATTGAGGCAGCTGAGGATGATTGCTCAGAACTCCCAGACCAGAACTGGTTCCATAGTGTGAGCCCATGAAAATATGGTCTTCAGAGACCTTAGTTTGGATGTCATGAGAGAACTTCAGCTCTACCTAGGCTAGTTTGGTAAGCACTGACTACCAGTGGTCACATAGTTGTATGGGCCTGAGAAGGTAACAACAATCCATTGGGCACACTCTGATATTCTGGATGAGGCTGAGCCACTCTCTTTTCCACAGTATTAATTTACTTTGGTGAGTTCAGCATACAGATTAGTAATGGGCCACACTCATGTGCTGGATACAAACACAGGATGTGACATAAGCTTATTCAGAACAGAGGCAGGGATGGAGTGGGGATTACTCTTCCATCAAAGAATGGAGACAGAATTGCCTCCTTTCCAAAGCCAGGTACGTTTTTTTCAGCTGCTGTTTCAAAGCCAGACATCATGCAAGGAGATGGTGGTAATGGGACAGTAGGTTGGCACACTGCTATGAATAGTCTACCACAAGCAATTGTAGACAGAGTATCCAATCTGTAGTCACTGAATCAGTCAAGCAATACCTTGGCCATGGGGTAGAGCTCTCATATTGTCTTAAGGGCCAAATTAAATCGAGATAATTTTCTTCAGCAGAGACACAATAATTCCAAATTTCTCCTGTCACAAGTAGATTCCAGATCCTGGTTTCACAAGTACACTAGTCTCCCAGCTCAAGCACAGGAAAAACAAAGCAGGCCAGGAGACCCCTGAGGATGTATGCAAGGTGTGGGTAGAGATCTCAAATTTGTTCTCCTGCATTATACCTGAATTTTCCAGGTCTTTCTTCCTCTCCTCCTTATGGTAAAATTAACTCTTGTTTTCTTCAGCTGGTGAGTCTGCCAACCAGGGCTTCAGGGAACTGGAGATATATAGGTTTGAGGATATTTTTCTGAACCTGGGTCTTTTCTTATGGCACCTAAGAAACTAGGAGATATGTAATTTAGCTCTATATGATGGACCCTAAGTCCAGGTCCCCAAATTGGGGTTGGTGTATCAGGTTCTACTGCATGCATATGAAGGCCAGAAAAACTTGAAGTTAAATGAGTAGGTTCTGTGTTGCTCTGAATGGGAACTTCTGTCACAGGCACAAATGAAAGCCTGGGGGTGGGGATAAACTAAATAAATACAGGCTAGTCAATCTAAGGAGAGATTTCAGCACTGTCTAATAGAGACATCTGAACTGACTAGGCTAAAATGTAGCACCTGGAGATCAGCAAGGGGAGGTTTTTCTGGCCAGGAAGTCACACTAATTTTACCTTCCTCAGAGTCTTAGGACAGATGAAAACTGTATCTAGCAAAACTGAATTTACCTTCAGAACAAGACAGAAGGCAAAGCAAAAATTAAGGATAAAATTCTCAAAAGGGAGTGAGTCTTGGGTTCTCCTGTCATCCCTTACAGGGCAGCCCTACAAAGAGACTGGAACCATACAGTTTCTGATTTACATAAATCTCTAAACTCACTACTTAGTGTGGGCAGACCCAGTTCTTAAATATTCTTGAAATAGTACTCATTCCTAAGCAACCCCATGCTGGAAGAGTGGCTTAAGCCCTACAGTGCCTGCCTAGCAAGCATTAGGCCCTGAGTTCAAACCCCAATGCCACCAAAAAAAATAAATAATAATAATAACCTAAGCAACCTCATGATCCCCTGTAGACATCTCAACTCTTTACTTCGAGCTTCTCTGAGACAGCTTTGCTGTTGGTAGACTAAGGTCATATTGAAATATACTTAAAGAATCAAGGTACAGTAGCTGGTGGTCTAGCTCAGCAGTAGAGTATGTAGTTAACATATGAGGCCTGGGTTCAATCCCCAGCAAACCCCCAAAACAAGAGAAGAAAACTTGAGATGTATTCCTGTCTCCTTTCCCTATCACCTCCTACTCCATTCTTTTCTCTTTTATCCCAAAGCAATCTGGGCTTTTGTTTTCTAGGCCCAGAGACTAGGTTAGTAATAACATAAAGCAGATGTCAGGAGCACAAGAGCCACACAAGGTACACAAAATGGCAGGAGATAGGCATATGGAGATGGGAAATTATATAATCAAAACAATGCCCTTATAAATAGATTTGGTAGCTGGGAACTGCAGCATTGTTCCAAAAGATGAATAAACTATCATCTACCCCATTAAAAGAGTTGGGGAAAAATAGGTAGATAAAATTATATAAGCTGAGGGAGGAAGAAGAGAAGAATGGGCCCAATCTAGGCAATACTACTCTCTTTCTAAGAAGGGGGACCATAATCGTGTCCATACACAGTCTGGTAGTCATGTGATAGGAAAGGTAGAGTTAAAATTGATGTTTTGGTGGTGATGATGACAAAATGACATAATGGTGATGATAATGATTATGGAAGTCAAACCCTGAGTTGCAGCATAGATAGGTCAGCCAGGCTGCAGCCAAGGCTAAGGTTTTCTCAAGGGAAATGTCTAAGGAGGGATACTTAGTGAGTGGTTCATTTAGAGACAACAAGGTGTCAACACAGCGGAAGGAGAGGCAAAGTCAGTATCAGAACTCAGAGGTTAAGTGTCTGGAGGTGACATGGTGAAGGTAATGATGTTGAGTCAGAAGCAAACGTACCGTTAGTCGGATGCTTTGCAAACGACACAGAAAATCGTTTTACGGCCGGGACAAACAAGAGCTCTGGGGAGAAAAGACATCATGGGGATTATACCCACCCCTGTGCCCACCCTCTGCTTTGGAATTTGCCCACAGTGTATGCTATTCTTTAATTAGTTATATGACCTGGTCCCATCCTCACCCCTTAGATACCTGATCACTACATTTCAACCTTTTCCTTTGATATAATCGCTTAGTATTCTATGTCATCTCTACCACAATCGGTCCCACAAACAATCCTAATTTCACCACCACATTCTTTTTAAGATAATTTAAAAATAAAATCTGTGTAGAAACTTCCTCTCTTCCCCCAGTTTCTTTCCATGTGATTGTTTCTACCTTAGCTGAGCAACTTCCCCTTCCCTGATTTCCTGGATTTTAAGTAAGGCTCCACTGCATTCATCCTAACCATTGATCATCCTCTTGGTCCTCACCCCTGTAGGCCAGAATCCAGGAAAGAGTATAAAATTGATGCAGCAAGGCTGTATGTGGGAGATTATGAAGGGATAAGCATAAATAAGTAGTATTTGTATGGTGAGACGGAATGCAAATGGAGGGGTGAAAGGGAGCCTAGTTTCTTCTCCCACCTATTGATGATGAAAAATTGTCATAAGGCCATTACCAGTGCCATCTTAAGCATGAATAGTTCTGGAGTTGTGTCCTTGCTAAGAAGCAAGTGAAAAAATTGTTGCCCCCCAAAACCACCCACATACCATCTCGGTGCTTCAGACTGGCAGGTGGTAGCTTTTTGCCATGGCTGCGGGCGTAGTCCTGAAGATTCGGGCACTGGAGGAGCCACCCAGCACTGTGGTGCTGAACAGCCCTGTGCACTGTGAGCCTGCAAGGCCGGGAGTGTATTAGTAGCCACGCAAAGCTGCACACAGAAGTACACACAACTTCACAGGACAACATAAAGACACACACAGCCATTCAGCACCACCATCATGTGCCAGTCCATATAACCACAAACAGCATTCACTATACTCCATAGCCACACTGGGCAAGCAAAGTCAAGATTCTCCTGAAGATCTACATGGCAGAGATGAGAGGTCACTACAAAAACAGTGTTAGTCATATTAGGGGATTCAAAGCTATTAGAAGAGATAGACTGTGCTTTCCAGGTGGCTCTCAGAAATGCTAAAGGAATAGGTAAATTCCTCTAGATTTAATTCAGTACCCTTTATCCTGATATAGGATTTGAGAAACCCAGAAATCTAGCCCCCTATAGGTTTGAAAGAAAAAAGCTTTGAGTGAAACTAGAGTTTGGGTTTTACTCAGTTGGCACCCTTCTAATTCCTTCTAAGTTCTTCATCCAACATGCCCTTCCTTTAGGACTTTTTACCTTTCCCAAGAATGAAAGTATGAGACTTGTATTTTTTAAACTGGAAGGGATTGACTCATTGATCATTCAGTTCAACTTTCTCATTTTAGAGATAAAGAAACAGATCCACAGGGGTCTCCATTGCTCAATGTCACACAGTATGTTAGGAGCGAAGGACTAGAATTCAGGTCTCTTTACTCTGCGATCAACTGTATTCAGTTAGAGAAGAAATAATTTTTTTCATAGAGGAAACAGCATAGTTTCTGAAGTCAAGATGGACACAAATTGGAAGACATGTGAAAAGTCATCTGATTATATGCAGAATGTGCCTATTATATACTGAGCATCTTACTAAGAAGGAAATTGGAAACAATAACAAAAGACATGTTTTTTTTTTCTGCTCTCAAAAATTTATTGTCTTGTAAACCTTATAATCAAAACCAGATGCCCACACACATAAGTTCAGAGAAACCAAAGAGAATTCTATTGGGGGCCAGTCAAAGGAGCAAACAAAACTTGAAGATTCTCTGAAGAGAATGAATCAAGCCAGTAACTGTTTCCAATATTTGATCCAGAATAGGGTTAGAACTTCTTGGTCCCTTCCACTATACCCCACATGGACAGAGTGGTCAGGAAGGGATAAGAATGACACCCAAATTCATGGGATTTGTCCCACCAATTCCAAATCTATCCTAGCCATGACCCTGGGTTTGGCTGGGAACTTAACAATCATAGGGTAGATGGATAGAGTGGAAAAGAGGCCAGTTTCTCTTGAGCCCATAAAGAAGAGACCATGGTTTCAAGGATCTCAGGATTTCAGGGTCTTCAGAGAAATCAGAAAGCTCAGGTAGCAAATTATTTCAGGACTTCTCTATGCAGCAACTTCATCTACCTTTCAAGTTCAAACTGGGTCTAGGATGGGGTTCCAGGGAGTAATAAGCATTGCTAAATATGTCTGCTCTTTCTCAGAGAAGCCAAAACTAGCTGGCTCTATCCCAGACCACCCCAAGCTCTGTCCTACATTTGTTTCCTCTACTGAATAATTTTCTGATACAGTCATGCCAACCCTGCTCTGCCTACTCCTTGGATCATCTCAGAGGGTGGTCTCTACCTTACCACCACCATCTGTCAACCAGTTCTGCATCCCTACCTCTGCTTTATTCTTTTTGTTTGTTTTTTCAGATGTTATCTTACTAAGTTGGCCAGGCTTACCTCAAATTCCTCAGCCCAAGCAATCCTCCTGTTTCAGGCTCCCAAGTAGTATTTTTTAATGCAGATACATATATATTATATGTACATAATACATACGTATAACACTGGAGTTTGAACTCAGGACCTTGCTCTTGCTAGGCAGGCACTCTACCAATTCAGCCACACTCCCAGCCCTTTATTTTTTGCAGCATTGACTTTTTTTTTATGGAAATGCTGGGGCTTGAACTCAGGGTCTCACACTTGCTAAACAGGAGCTCTTTACTTATTTTTTGAATAGGGACTTGCATTTACGCCTGAGCCGGCCTACATATGCGATATTCCTACCTATGCTTCTTCTGTAGCTAGGATGGATGACAGGTGGATGCCACCACACTTGGATTTTTTTTGTTGAGGTTGGCCTGGAACTGTGATCCTCCTGATCTCTATCTCCCAAGTACGGAGGATTACAGGTGTGAGCCCCAGCTCCAGGTGTTTGAATTCAGGGCCTCACGCCTGCTAGGCAGGTACTTTACCATGTGAGCCACTCTGCCAGTGGGCTTGTAGCTTCTCCTTATTCTTGACATGACTCCCAACTAACTGGGCCAGACAAATCTACCCACTGTTCCAGCCTATCTGGAACCTATTCTTTACTGGGATTTCTAGGGAATAAATGGGAAGTCATTTATTTTGTCATTTATTTCTCATGCCCCCAAACCACCTAACTTATTTTAGGATCTAGAAGGCAACCTACTCTCATAGACTGGAAAGTTACCAAAACATTTCTCCCCCTGCTCTGGTCAAATGCTAATCATTTTGGACCCAAGAAATTAGGTGCCAAGAACAGAGGTAATAGAAAAATGGGAGATGAGAGGACCTAAATAGGGAGAATAATAATAAGACAAAGTTAAAAACAAAACAAAACAAAAAAAAAAAGGAGCCAGGGGAACAAGTTCCGACCCCTCACACTCAACTCTGTCCTCCAGTTCTAGCTACTGGCTTACATGGCACTGTATTTAGAGATAGCCCATCCCAAAGATCACCTCTCCCTCCCAAAGAATACAATACCCTCTGGGGCTTGGTTCTTCCTGCAGTCTATGTTCTTAGAAAAGGTTGAATGATGTTTTCTACCCCTTTCCAGGGATCAAAAAATCAAGAGAAATTCCCTCAAAGTCCTGAGAGAGGCCTCTGCCACTACATCAGTCTCAGATTTGTCCCTCAATCTTCCAGAAGGAAAGGAAAAAAGTTACAGGATTAGAACAGGATGGAGGAGAGGGCATAGAGGTAGGAGGAGCCAGAGCAGGCATGTGAAAAACACAGGTTTCAGAGGAAGACATGGCACAAGTTCTCCATATGAGGAATATGACAATTATGGGGGTGGTCACAAGTACCTCTATTTATAGCTCTGTCACTGATAACTCTGAAGGTTCAGAGTCTCCATGGCCCCTTAAGGTCTGGGCTAGACTGGAGGGACAGATAAGGAATGAGAGGGAAAACCAGGAAAATGCCCTTGGGCCAGGGAAGTGGGGGTTGGTGGAGAAAAACAAAAGATATACACCTTTCTGAGATGAAAACAATCATCTGAGATCCAAGTTCACACCTAACTATGGCTTCTCCCACTTCATCCTCCCTATCCCCACCTGACAATTCCACTGACTGAATGGTCCCCAACTCCCAAGACAAAGATTCCCCGCAATAAAACTCTGAATAACAGATAGACACCCCTTTCCAACAACAGATGAAAGATGCTGGCAAACCATACCTAGGCCACTCTGCTGCATCTCTGTTGGTGGCCGTGAAGATGAAAACAGTCGGTAGCCACCAGGCCTGGAGGATGAAGTCTCAGAAAGCACCTGCAGGAAAAGGACTCTGTATTACCATTTTGCCTGCCTCAACCCAGAAGTTTAAAACCCAGGTCCTGAATTCTTGCCCCTACAAAGCCAAGCAGTGTGAGAAAGTTTAGAAAAACCACAGGATTTTTATGGGGGAAGATGAATGAAGAGGGAAGAGAGTGTCCTTTAGAGGGAACTGTCCAGAGAACCCGTCTATGCTAGAAGACTCTTCTATTTCTAAGATCCCTGTCCTTGCAGCCCTCCCACCCCACATCAGAGAAATCCTTATTCAATTATTCCTAGTTCTCAGCATAGAAGGGGTTCTCTAATCTTATCTGTCCCTCCTTAGGACTCCGAAAGCCAATCACAATGACTCAGCCACAAATAAATCCAGTCACCTTTTCTTCTTTCCATGGGACAGCTGTGACTATTATGACCACACTAGATTTCTTATCTAAACCAAGAAGCCCTCCCCTCCAACTATTTCACTCCTGAACATGTGAAAATGATTTTGTCAAATACCCATGAGGGCCAATCACACAACCCCCAACATATGTACATCCCACCCAGATAATGTTCTGTATCACTAGATCCCAAAAAGTAAAGATGGAAGGCAGAAAAGTAAGGAGAGGCAGGGAGGGACACCTGTGTGCAGGACGCCAGGTGAGTGGTGGACACAGCCCGGGGCTGTAGGCTGATGGCTGGGGAAGGCCGGGGGAGGTCTCCTGACCTCCGGCGGCGCCGTCCCCTCAAGGGGATCAGGTCCAGGTTCCCCGTGCACTGCATGTTCATGACCTGCAATCAGACCGGGTGGAAAGCCGGTCAAGGCTCCTTTAACCCCCCAGGCTCCCAAAGCCCCAGTGCCCATAGGGCAGAGCTAGTTAGAGGGCTGGGAAGGGTGACCAGCTAGGGTACAGGTGCTATAAAGGTCACAGGTTTTGTAATCTAAAACAGTTCAAAAACATGAGATGACAAGAGGAGGAGAAGGATGGTGGGAAGGATGTCATTGAAAGGATAAGACAGCCCAATGCCTATAGATCAAGGAGAGGACATATTAATATTATAAGGCTGTGTGACCAAGGAGCAGAGAGAAGATTATCTTACAAGGCTAAGGAGCATATTCTGGGCAGCCATCATACTGGATGAGCCAGGGCCTAAGCAACACCAGTCACTGAAAGGAAAGAATGTGATTACAACAGGAAGCTTCCTAAAAGAAGTCAACCTCCTCAAGTCTGAGGAGATGCAGAGAGCTCTCCTATGCCTTTCTACCCTGTGCTTAAACCAGAAGAAAAGGGATTTCAGTGCAATAGTGCCAAGAAGACCACAGACCACATGAGTGCGGAAGACGCTTAGATGTGGAGCTGTTTACTGATGGAAGGTTATGTGTCATTCTGTCCATTTGATCTATTTTACATGAGTCTGTGGGGGATATAGAATACTATGGATACTAAGTTACACCTAGACCTCAAAGAGAAAATCATGCATATCCCAACTGAAGAAACTCTGAATATTCATAATGTCAAATGTATCTTAAAATAATTAGGAAGTTAACAGATAAGTCCAGAAAAGAGGCTGCAACTTGTTTCTCCACTTTCTCAAAAATTTTATCTGCAAACTTCTGCCTGAACTAGTTGCAGATTCTTCTGAGCTTTCTCTAAAATAGAAAAACCAATCCATGTAAGATAGAGACCTATCACAGAGCTAGATGAACAGATTCATGGGATTAGAGCAGTATGCAAATTCCAAAGTCAGAGTCTCTATGAAGGGGATAAATCGTGGCATCAAAAAGAATGTCATTGGGCCAAAGAAGGAAACACTGTTTCCTGGAAAGAGACTAAAACAAAAACCCAGGACAGTTAGCTAGATGCAATGGGAGAGTAATAACAGTTCCTTTCCCTAGGTTAGAGACAAGAACCAGAGCTAGAGACAATTAAGCTCTAGGAATAGCAGAACACAGGCCAAGGCAGATAAACCTCATTAGGAGAAAAAGAACAGATAGACCTCCATACTGATCCCCTTTCTGAAACAACAGTATAGATAACCCTAAAGGGATTAAGTGCCAGGTATTTATTTGTTCATGTCTGAGCTTACCCAAGGAAACAAAGAGATGGAGAGAGCCTCCTGGCCTTTAATATCAATTATATTATTGCTATAGTTACTGTTTAATGAGGGTCTATAAGACGATTATTACTCATATTTTACAAATGAAAAAGTCAGAGAAGTTACCCAGGCAAGGTCACACAGCTCCTAAGAATCAGACTGAGACGTTAGCCCAGAGTTCATGCTTTTTATACTATATTTCCTTCTAAAGAACTGCCTTTTAAAATTCATCCAGAGGTCTCCTCTATCTTTTTTCTTAAAACCCTCATCTCTCAGACACCCCTGACCAGCAACTATTTAATATCAGAACTAGCAACCAAGCTAAAGAAATTCTACTGGGGGGACCAGTTGTGAAAGAGAGATTAAGTAAAACATGTCAATCAAGGGAGGGGGACGGAGTTTCAGGTCCCAAGGGGATTCAGAGAATACATGAATATTGGCCTATGAGTGCTTCCACTCCTTCACTTTCTTCCCAGGCCCCTCCCATTACCTCCATGGAGCCTGCTTTTCGGTTACGAATGAGCGGTGATCTCCTCGGGAGGCCAGGGCCCTCAGAAGGCTGGGGTGAAGTCTGCAATGCCCGGTCTGGCTCATCTGATGCTTTTCCTGGGCACAGGTTCTCCATGCTGCCTTGGTCTGTTTTGATCTCATTCTGTAAAATAATAGGGAGATAGGAGAGGCATTAATGGCTTCCAGCCTTCTAATCCAACTCCTCAACCTTTTATCACTCTATACTGGTATGTCTTTATTTTTTTTTTATGTTGTAGTAGGGGTACATTGTGCCATTTACAAAAGTTCTTATAATATATCATAGTTGAATTCACCCTCTCCATTATTTTTCTTTATCTCTCCTCCCCCATCCTGGAATAGTTTCAATAGGTCTTTTATAGATATAGATATAGATATAGATATAGATATAGATATAGATATAGATATAGATATAGATATAGATAGATAGATAGATAGATAGATAGATAGATAGATAGATCATATTACCACTCTATACTGTTTAACCCAGTTTCCCACCACTTGGTTCCTAAGTCCTTCAGTCCCAAATCCCAGCCCTCTGACTCACCTCAGAAGAGGCTGGACGGAATCCACAGCCTGCTGGGGCACTGCCTTCTTCCTCAACGCCTTTCACTCCAGGGCTGAAGTGCAGCTCCACATGGAAACGTTCCTCTGATAAGGGGTCCTATGAGGCATCACCAAATGAAGGGAAAGTTGGGAGAAGCTGAATGTGGTGGTAGAAGACCAGGCAAGGGCAACAGAGAGGAACTCAAGAGGATACATCCTCCCAGGGCTAAGGTTTCAGGTTGTTGCTACAGACTGAGGATGATCTGTTACAGCTCCTCTGCTATGAGAGCCTCATTCCTTTACCTCCCACCACTTATGACTCACCACCACTCTACTTGACTTTTAAACTTCCAGTTCCAAATCCTTCCTATCCCATCAACAATTCACCTTTGCTATGGCACATACAGCAACACATTAAAGATGTCTTTGTAGAGTCAGATGCAGAAGGTATATGTATAACAGTGTGTGAGGGGAAAAGGCTCATAAAATCATCCAAAATTCTACACCCTTCCTAATGCCAGAGCTGTTTTCTAGGTTATTTCTCTGGCTCAACAGCATTCCAGAACATACTTTCTGTTCTAGAAAGAACCTCCTGGATGCCATGCTGGGTCAAGATGCCACATCTAGCTGGATGCTACAAATTCTAAGGATAAAAAGGGTTTTTTGGTTTTTTTTTTTAATGGAAGTAGAAAGAAGGGGCCCTCTCTTCATCCCACTTTCTTTGCTTCTCACCTGGGTATTGTCCTCATAAAGCATGATAACAATCTGAGTCATGTAGTTGAGCTCAGAGATGGCACTAAGATAAGCCAAAGCTCGCTGCCATTGTGCATCCTGGGTCTCCTATCAAACACAAAAAGAGGTAAGCCAGTGCCCAAGGATGAGGAGTTAGGGAATGGGCAGGGAAATAGGAGAAAAGAGAAAGCTTGCAGAAAAAAAGAAGCATGAGGAAGAGAGTAAAGGAATGCTGGGGAAATATATTCATAGCCTCAGGGAAGAAGGAGCATCCTTACATCAAGAAGTCCCCCATAACGGAAGACACTGAGTAGGGAGTGGACATGACTCTCACTGGTAAAATACAGACGTGTTCGAACATGGCGGCCTGGGGAAAGCACTCCTCGGGAGTACCTGAGATAACAGTCAAATGATGAATATTGTCAGGTAATCTTTGTAACCCTTCTGCAAACTCCTCCTCCCACCTCAGAGATTTCTCCTCTCCTCTTCTCTCCATTCCAGAATCCCTTCTATTCTTGGTTCCCCAAGCTATCCCAGCCTTGATTTCCCCAGGGCTCCCAAATGTCCCTCCCTCCATCCAGCACCCCTCCCAGCCCTCCCTCACAGGGGATGCAGCTTGTTGACAGACTCATCCTCGTGAGTTCTCTGCAGGTCAAGTAGTATCTTCCGCAACAGTGGAAGACAGAAGCCCACAGCAATTTCCAGTTTCTCCTCCCGACTGATCCCGTACTCCTAAAGGGCCGTAGGCCAGGAATAAGTATCTCAATGAATCTTCTTTTCCTCTAGCTTCATACTCCCAACCCTAAAATCATGTCTGTCTTCACCTAAGGTGTAGGGCTTTTCCCCTACCACTATATTCTCCATCTCTAGGTATCACCTCAATTAGCCTCTGGTACTCGCTCAGAGCCAGAGTGGACCCTGAGAATTAAAGCAATTCAACTAATTCCTTCTCTAAATTTCCTTCCCCCAGTTCTCAAATCACCCCTCCTTTCCACCCTTCTTCTTTTTCTTTCCACAATCTGCTTATCTCCAAGCTAGAGCCCTTATATGAGACATACCTGGGGAATGACCACATCTGCCAATGCCTTAGAGAGACGGAGCAACTCTGCTGTGCCCTGAAGTCCCAGACTGCCATTGTGCTGTACATCATACTTGACACAGTCATAGATATCAGGGATCTTACTGATATCATAGCGCCCACTCTTCTGTCGAAAGTCACGCTCCAGTTTGCTCCAACGCTGCAGCATTAACTCTAGTGTCTCACTATGGTATAGTTGTAGATCTGGAAGGAAGGTGGACAGTCAGATAGAGCCAAAGATTTGACCTCCAACAACAGACCCTGACAACTATGGAGTAGAACCAGAGGGATGAGGATGCCTTGTCTCAGACATTTAGGAAAGGACCCAGGAGTGCCTGAGAAATGCGTGCATACCTGAGACCTCAAAAAGAAAACAGTAGAATTCATACCCACCTATAGACTTGGGGTCCTGCATCCGTTCCTGGATCTGGTGGGTGAGGTTTTCAATCAGGGAAAATACCTGATCACAGACCTTTACAGGATTCTGAATGATAGTCATAGAGTTGAGCAGGGAAGTGCTTCTGGTGGGAGCTAGCTGTGAGGAATAGAGAGAAGAAAAGCAAGATAGGCTAAGTGCTAACTGCCCAGATTCCTGTGAGTGTATTACAAAAAGACTTCTTGTAATACAGATCTGTTTTTTTTTTGCTCACTTCAATGACTATTCTTAGGCCACTGGGCATACTGTAGTTCTAGGGCCTTTAGATGAGAGAACTGCTCTAGCATATAATCATTTAAAAGGGGCTGATCTTAAAAGTATTGGAATTCAGGAAAAAGAAAACATTCAGGACTCTAAAATACACATGGGAAATGCTCAAGAATAAAGATTAAACCAAAATCCCTCTAAATCTCTGCCAGATATTTTGATGAGTAGATATTACAGATAACATTATCCTGCTTACTGAAGTGCTACTTTAGAACAACTTGGGTTCTCAAGCTTTTAGGACAGTCACAGTCAATGAGGAATGAGGAAGGAGAAAGATTGCAAGTGGAATGCACAATTCTACATAAGGTCTCAAAGGAAGCCTTACTACCAAAGGAATCAAGAGAAAAAGGAAACGTTGCCCATAGATTTTCTGGAGTTGACACTGAACAATGGATTGGAAAATAAGGGAGAAAAATTCTGCCCCTTATCAAATCCTGCTCCGAGGAGAACACAAGTACAGGGAATGTGCTCAGCTACTTAAGTCATTTAAGAACCTATCAGAAATAGTTACACAACAATGTAAATATACATAATGCCACTGTATTGGCTTAAGTGAGCTAGGTGTGGTGGGCCACACCTCTAATCCCAGCACTTGGGAGATGGGAGGCAGGAGGATCATGAGTTCCAGGCCAACCTGAGCTACATGAGGGAGACCCTGTCAAAAAACAAGAACAACAAAATGATTTAAGTGGTATTACAATTTAAAAATATACATTTTTTTGAAAGAACCCATCAAAATGAGGGGTGAGCTAGTGAAAAACCACTGCCTGAATACCCAGGGAAAAGGATGACCGCATTAGTTAATGGCACCCACTGTGACTGATACTGACAGGTGGTGTATTGCAGGGTTAACAGACAAGAATCTGGATGTAAGCTTCATTGGGTTTCTACTAGTTGCATAACTTTGGAAAAGTTGCTTAAATTCTTTGGAGCCTAGGTTTCCTCATCTGTAAAAAAGGAAAATAGTAGTATACTCCTAACAGTACTTGTGGTAGATTAAAGGTAGCCATTAATTCTTTGTCCCATACCCTTCCCTTGAATCTGGACTCGCCCTATGACTGCTTAACCAATAAATAATAACAATCTTATATTGTGCTAATTTTGGGTTTCAGCTTTAAGAGAGCTGGGAAGCTTCTGCTTTGTGGGAGCCTTAAGTTACCACCTAATAAGTCCAGGTAGCAAGCTAGAAAAAAATCACATGAAGAAAACCAAGGGAGACGATAGGCCCCGAGAGCACAGAAAGAACCTGAAGAAGTAGAGAGCCAGGCATCCCAAAATCCCATTTGAAACTCCAAATAGTTTTAGCCCCAGTCAATATCTGACAGCAATTTTAGGACTGACCCCAAGTAAGAACAGTTGATCCCAGAAGTAAGAGAGATAATGAAACAGTTGTTGTTTTAAATTACTAAGTTTGGGGGTAGTTTTACATAGCAACAGATAACTGAAACCTTCTGTTCTCAATTCTTGGGATTTTGGAATTGAGAATTTTTGGACTTTTGAAGTTAAAATGGAACATATGCCATATGGCATTCAATACCTCCAGCAGAGCCTAGGGCATAAACACACTAATATTTCTGCAGCAAAATGTATGATTATTATACTGAGTGGGATAAATAAGGCTTCTAAATAGGCCTGTGACAGTTCATGCCAGGTTTGGCTGCCAAATGAGCCTTGATGACAAACTTATAAAAAATCCTTTTAATTTTGAAATGGTGGATAAGAGAATTATGGACATGGACTTAACTCAAAGGGCTGCTGTAAAGATGAAGTGAGATAATATGTAGAAGCCACCTAAAACAGTGCCTGGCATACAATAAGTACTATTATATTGATCACTATTATTTAGAATTTTAGGAATTTGAGATCCTCGATTATTTGGGGCATAGAGATAAGAAGAGCCTGACCTGATCATAGTCCTCAGGGCCAAAGGACGCATCCTGCTGCAAAATGTGGTGTAGCCGAGCCTTCACCCGATGTTGGCAGCTGCTCAAGGAATCACTGTCACTGTCCAGGAGCCCATTCATGTTGGCACTCTTCACCATTTGTACTAAAATGGGTGTCAGTTCCCCTTCTAAAGCCAGGAGGCCCTGGAAGAGAAGCACAAGGTTTATTAGTTTCTTTTCCTGGCCAGTCATCTTAGGCCTTGGTGGTCCCAGAGATGGAATAAGAGCTGGCTTGAAGAGTTGGGGCACAGGTCAAGGGGCCTATTCTCAACAACTATTCTAAGCCCCCCCGCCTTTTTTTTTTAAGCTGGTGTTTGAACTCAGGGCTTTGCTCTTGATAGGCAGGCACTCTACTGTTTGAGCCATGCCTCTAGCCCTCAGCTCCTCAATAATGTAGAATGGGGTCAGACATAAGTAAACTGTGAGTTGGCTTGCCAACTAATTCTCTAAACTCAGTTTCTCTACCTAATGGAAGATAACTGTGGAAGAACTATAGGATGCACCTTGGCAAAGGCAGCAGCAGTCATCTGGACACGACCCTCATCAGAGGCATAGATCTTGAGGTCATGGCGGAAAGTGCTATGGAGACGAAGCAGCCCACAACCAGGGAAGCCAGCATAGTCACCTGGGTAAAGGGGAGGACCAAGAATAGAGTTACATGGAAGAAAGAATATTAATTTCTCTTCCAACTTCACCACTACCTCTGTCTATTCATTTCTTCCACTTTAGTCTCTAATCACCTGATCCCAGCCCTTCTAGGTATTCATCTCCCCAAACACTCACCCTGGCCTCCAGGATACATGCAGCGAAAAGCTCGCCCCAGCTCCTCAGCCTGAACACGGCCAGCAGGCGTCAGTTCTCCACCCCACTTTAGCACCAGCAAAAGAGATGGTGTCAGGGCCTCACTCTGTGGATCTGAGGGAAGAAGGAGCAATAAGTAGGCCTAGATCTAAGAAAATGGTATAAACATCTAAATGGCAGGTCTTCTAAGGAGACCATAAAAGTAACTTCAGATACAGGCAATGTGCAGGCTGAAGAATAAGAGATCTGAATGATAACGGAAAGGGAGATTAGATCTTACCTTGCCCCTCATTAGAAGCTTTCACCCCATGTGGGTAGTAAGTTAACTGCACCTTCCGGTTGATACCTGAGAAGTGACCATACCTGCAGGATAAAGCCACAGCTTACTTTCTGCCCTAGTACCCCAGTTGTCATTGTTATTAGCTCCCTTTTTCTACCCCCTTTCTCACATTTCCAACACGGACTTCAGCTGCTCTAGTTTCCCAGTCTTCTCCTCGATCTCACCACTTGGTTCTTTCTCCAGTTCAGCCAACAGCAGCCTTGTGATGTCCAGCACCTCCTAGAGGAAATAATAGGGTATTCCTGTAGGAGGCCAAGTCCTAGCCAGTTTCCCTTCCATCCTATCTCTCATCAATACAATACCTTCTCTCTTTTTCCTAGCAGTAGTACTGGACCCATTCACCACCTTACCTGGAGCTGCTCAGGTCGCTTGAGTTTTAATTTCCCTGTCTTATATCCACCATGTTTTTCAAATAGAGTAAAAAACCTGAAGAAAGAAAAACGAGTGAGACAATCAAAGCTTCTGGGAGTCTACCCAGGGATACTAAAAAAAAGTTTCTGGGACCTGTTCTCCAACCACCCTCTTTCATGAAGAACTATTTGTCTAAATTAGGATATTCTTCCTACCTTGGGTGTGTCACCTCCATCTTCATCTTTTGCTTGGGAGTACGATCCCCATGACGGATAATTGCAATGACACAACGAAGTTCCATCCTAAGATCAGGAATGTTCTCAGAGCCTTTCTCCCATGCCAAACCTAGTCCCGCCTCCCATCATCACATCCTACTCAACATGTAGAAGAACAGAGGAACAGGGATCTGAGATTGGGGACATAGGTGGAGTTAAGGGGACTGCCTAGAAGAGGTCCAGGCTCTACAAGTTAGATAGTATTGGGTCAAGAAGCAACAACTGTCTGGCTTAAGGAATCCCATGTCTTATATAGGTTACTCCAGAGTTTTTACTTTTGCTTACATAGTGCCAGATGTGGTAGGGACAATGGGAATGTCCTCAGCCTCTGTGGGGATGGACCATGGGATCTGGAACTGTGGAGCAAGCTCCCGCATAATGGTATTTCTAGAAGGAGAAACATGAAAAGCCACACAAAAATGAAAAAGAAACATGCTGCAGAAGAAAACATTAATATAAAATTTGAAAACACACAAACAAATATCCCCACATACGTGATGGAAACATTAGTAAACACACAGGGATGATAAACACCAAATTAAGAATTGTAGTTCTCTCTGGATGGATGAGAGGTGACAAGTATAAACAGGGAGGAGTATATAGGGGCTTTAACTATATAATTTTTTTTGGCAGTACTGGGTTTGAATTCAGGATCTCACACTTCCTAGGCAGGTGCTCTACCACTTGAGCCACTCCCTCAGCCCTCAACTATATTCTTTTTTTTTTTTTTTTTAAGTTTTGACAAGTACATATAGTGTGTATTTGAAGCCAAACCATCAAGATATGGAACATTACCATCATTACCCCAAATTCCTTCATCTCCATCCCCACCATTCTAGTCTGTTCAGGCTGCTGTAACAAAATACCGTAGACTGGGTGGCATATAAATAAAAGAAATTTATCTGTCACAGTCCAAGGCTGGAAGTCCAAGATCAAAGTGCTAGGAGATTTGGTATCCCTGAAGAACCAGTGCTTCCTGGGTCACAGATAGTACCTTCTTCTGTGTCCTCACATGGTGGAAAGGGGGTAGACATTTCTTTGGGGCCTCTTTTATATGGGTTTTAATCTCATGTATCTTTTATGAGGACTCTGCCAAAGGACTCCCACCTGTTACTACTATTGCATGGTGATTATGTTTCAAAATATGAATTTGGGGGATTGTAGCATACCCAGTCAACTATATTCTTAATAGTACTTACTATGTATGAGACCTCAAACACATGATCCTGTCTTAACTTCCTGAGTGCTAAGATTATAGGCATGAAACACCATGCCCAGCTATTTTTTTGTTGTTGTTTAAAACAGGGTTTTGCTATGTAGCCTAGGCTAGCCTCCAATGCCACCACATGTGTCACTGCACCCAGCCTTGACAGTGTATCTAAGCTAGGCGGCACTTGGTCAGCACTTTCATAGTCATGAATGCTCACCATATTTATCATTTTTGAGTGGTTTAAACATTAAATGATGACATTTTTAAAGTCAATTGCAAACAGAATTGTAGTGTGATCACATTTAGTATAATAAATTTAGTTTATTTATACATGGCAGAAAAAGACACTCTGTTATGTCTACAACTAGTCACAGTAATCACCTCTGAGGAATGCAGTGTTGGGAAAGCAATAGAGATCAGAAACCCTTTTTCTTTTGTTCCTTTTAATTAATTTTTATAATCTTCAAAATAAAGAAAAGCTTTCTAATCTTCTTCTCCAAGCCCATTCTACCCTACCCTATCTCTTACCCTAGAATCTTGGCACAATCGTCGTAATATTTCATTGAATTCTTGACAAAACTGAAGCCATTGACATCACACACAAAGGAGTGACCATTGGCACGAAGAAGGTCAAATCCACAAACTGTTTGCTGTGGGGAAAAAGACAAGATGAAAACAAAAGAGCCACTCTTTGTTCCTAGACCCTGCTCCCACCTTTCTCACTCATTGCACAACCCTTATGGGCTTTTCCCTACCTTAAAAGCTACGCAGACCTTCCTGGCCACTAGCTTTTCCATGGCAGTCAGCATGACTGGATATCGAACCTCTTTCCCCTCACTGTCTCGTTCAACCTTCCCATCCAAAGCTGGAGATTTTCTAGCTTCAGCATGGGCATAATCTGGCCCCACTGTATACACCTGCAGGTACATAGCATCACTGAGTATGCCCACAGTTCACCCTGTATGTGAGAAGACAATATGAGCACTAGGTCTATAGACTAGTTTCAGAGTAAAAAAAAAAAAAACTAAACCACCAAATAAACGCCAAGCATTAAGAATAAGGAGACTGACATTCCAAGTATCCTATTCCTGCCCATACATTTATAGTCTTAAATCCCTATAATCCACCATAACCTTGACATCTGTGCCATCTGTCGGCATAAACTCTTCATAGATGTATGACCCTGTCTTTCGGACGCTGCTCTCAGGAGAGTAAACACTGCTTCGGCTGCCAATCTTCAGGAGAAAAAGGAAGAAAAAAGAAATGTTGCCTCAAGCCTCCAGCTGCCCCAAATCTTCCAGCAGACTTCCCAAAAATTTCACCTTTGTCCTTCTACCTCTTTGACTCCCCAGATGATCAAATGTCTCCCATACCTTACGGAAGAGGCGCTGACTTCCTCCTCCAGCTGAGCTGGGATAGTAAATGTAAACATTGTGGTCCTCTGCACTCACTGGCTTCTCCACAAAGGGCTTGGGAAACACAGCTCCATTGACCTCTACCTGGTCTTCACCTTCTATAAGGTTGCACTCTAAAAGGTAGATGTGTGATCATTCCTAGGGCCTAAGGTTGTAGAATACTTACAACTCCCATTTTCCCAGGGTTTCCCTATAACTTTCAAATTTTTATGACCATCTCTTAATAATAGATAAGGTAATATTTATATGTAGCATATAGATATAATAATATCTATATAACCGGTCAAAGTTCTATCTAAAGACCATGGCTCTAGCCCTACATAGATATGTGGTATAAAGGAGATGTTTAGAGGATAGACACAGGCTTATATCATAGAAAGCAAGGCAGGACTAGGCAAGGTCAGGTACTCACCCTCAGGCCGGGCAGGGTCACGGTTGAGCACAGCATATCGAGGCAGATCAATGCCCTCCTCCTGCAGGATCCGGTATACCTCCCTCCTGTCACCCCCAAATAAATTAGCTGGGAGAGGTGGAGGGTGACAAAGGTGAGAGGCTAGGGATTTCATTTGCACAGGGATGGGCAGACACCAGGGCACAGAACTCAACTGGGTGTGGTATAAAAAATTAAGCATGTTGGTTTAACTCTGCCCCTCCCAAAGTGGGTTCCGTAAATGGGCATAATCTCAGGGTCACCCACCCCACTGGCCCACAGGAAGCTATACCTATCTTGGATGTAATACTGCATGGTCAGATCATTGATAAGAAAGGGGTTTCGAAGCTTGGAGTAAGCAACAGCTTTGTCCAGAGGAAAGCCTAGGATGGAAAAAGGAAACAGAGAGACCAACGAAAGAAAGTAAAGAGACAGGGTGAGAAAATAGCAAAAAGAGATAGACGGACATATTAAAAGCTAATGGCTGCCACTGAGCTCCTCTACCCATCCAACCCATCACTTATTCTTTGCCCAGTTTCTCAAGTCTAGGGTATTCATCAGGAAAAAATGTTAATCATATTTAGGGTCCTTCCAGAAATCCAATTATATCGAAGATCCTCAGAACTATCTTGAAGATAGACTATAAGCTTTAAACTACACCAAACAACTCCTCTAAGATGTAGGGAAAGCAAACCCCTCTTCATTGTTCTCTAGTATACTGGGAGAAACTGGTGGCTTCTTTACTAATAAGACAGTAAGAACCTCATCCCCAATCTAACAGTCTCACTATCATTCTTCCTATTTTTCTTTCTAGACCCCAACCTTTGGAGTGGAAAGAGATGAGGCAGTGGCAAGATGGCCAGTTTTCCACAGGTTCATTTAGGATCACATCTTCTCCCAGGATGATAACAGTCAGGTAGTCAAATCGGCAGAGTCGCTCTAGGATTTGGGTCATTGGCTTGGACTTAGATTTCTTGGTCATGGCACAGATGCCAACAATGATTTGAGGTTCTGGAGGCTGCAGAGAAGAAGTGCTATCAGGAACTACAGAACTTCACACTTATATCAGCCCATCATGGTAATAAACTGTCCCATCTTTTTAAGACACAGTTTCTTATTAAGACTTTGGACCTATGGAGTAAGGGGTGCCTCCTAACTTTGGTCTATGCTGGGGCATGTCTAGGGATTCCTACTGCAGACAACAGGAGTCTTTCTACTGTAGGAAATGTGTGCTCAAGCAGAAGAATCAGAGAACCAATTACCATGACACAATAGGAGGATGGCATAAGAGAAGGGGTTTACAAAGGGGCAATCAACCAATCTCGACTGCCTCTCCCCTAACAAGGATAAGGCCTGTTTAAAACAGGAAATCTATGCATTTGGAGAGAACAGAGAGGTGTCACCATCCAGTGGAATCTCAACTCTTTTTGACAGGACCACCAATGCCAACTTACATCATCATTTCCCCTAGTCTTACCACTTCATCCTCCTCATCCTCAAGGAGCTCGTTGTCACTCTCTTCTGTCCTCATGCCTATTCCATGGGAGCCCAGCCCCTCATCTCCAGCTCCAAGGAAGAAGTGGGCTGTGGTGCTCTCGTCCTCCTCACTGGCCGTCAATGACCACATCCCCGCTGAAACACCCACTCATCCCGCTCTGCAGAGGGGAGTACCCGATCAGCTCAGAATCCAAGTCCCCTGGCAGTGAGTGGAGATAGGGTAGAGGGAACTAGAAAATAAGAAGGAGCTACAGGGGTACAAAGGAGAAACAGGGAACAAAGCTTTGAGAAGGATCAACAAAAAAGGAAATGATGGCCATGATGTGAAATGACTAGAGAGCCATAAAAGAACAGCAAAGACTCCCTTTTCACCTGATGACCCCACCCCAACCAAGAAATTGGTAAAAAAGGATCAGGGATAAGCCTTACAGTGCAGGCATGTCCCTGACTGCCAGCAGGAAACAATGTTAACTTCAGGCAGCAAATGGGAGAGGCAGTTCTTCAAGAAAGGCTATTGTTGATTCCTATCAGAAGAGAAAGTTAGAGTGACATTTCAAACTTTGGATTCATTCCACAATGTTCCTAGCCTTCTCAACCTCCCCACAGTATTGCTGAACTCAAGGATTTCATTCAAGAGCAGAGGAAGGAGCTGGGCACCAGTGGTTCACACCTGTAATCCTAGCTACTTGGAAGGCTGACAGCAAGAGGATGTTGTTCAAGGCCAGTCCGGGCAAACAGTTCCTGAGACTCCCATGTCCAAAATAACCAGAACAAAACAGACTGAAGGTGTGGCTCAAGCAGTAGAGTACCTGCCTTACAAGTGCAAAGCTCTGGATTCAACTCCAGTCCCACCAAAAACAACAACAAAAAGAACAGAGGAATGAGACAATTTAGCTGCCTTTACCCTTAAACTCAATCCTCATTCCTCATTCTTACTAAGTATTAACTCAAGAAATATTTATTGAGGTTACCTTCTATTCTAAGCATATGTCAGAACATTTTTTTTTTAAAAATCCCCTAAGATATTCCCTCTCTTTTTCACCCACTCCTTTTTTTTTTTTTTTTTTTTTCAGTAATGGGATTTGAATGCAATTGCTAGGCAGGCGTTCTACCACTTGAGCCACACCTCCAGCCCTCACCCACTCCATCTTAAAAGACAGACACACAGAAAAATCCAATCAAGGAAAGAAACCTAGTGCTGGTTGGGAGGTTGAGAATGCAAGCATCTACACAGCAGTCTTCATTCCATTCTCAAACTGAAATCTCATGTTCTACCTGCTGTTCTGTGGCACTACAAAGCTAGTGTTAGTCTGGGGTAAAGTCCTTCCAAACAGGAGCCACAGTTGAAAAAAGTCCTTCCTAAAGCTGTATCAGTAAGAAGATCTTAAGATTTTGAGTCAGAACAAGCTGGCAGCTCCACTTCTGCATGCAAACATCTAGAGCAGCATTCTTACCCAGTTGTGATTTTGCTGCACCGGGGACATTTGGCAGGAGACATTTTTGGCTATTAGAACTGGAAAGGTGCTATTTGTATCTAGTAAGCAGAGGGCAAGAATGCTGTTAAACATTCTAAAATGTACATGATATGCCCCCAATAACAATGAGTTATTCAGTCCAAAATATCAGCAGTGCCAAGGTGAAGAAACTCTGCAATAGAGAAAGTTTCCTACATGAGAAGACAAGTGCAAGGATGTTCTTAACCTTCTTAAACTGTTGCTAATGAAAACAACTAAAAACAATTCAAAGGCCTTAAGTGGAAGAACTGATAAATACAATGTAGTATATAGAAATAACAGATTAATAGCATTTTTTTTTACAGTACTGGGGTTTGAACTCAGGGTTTTGTACTTGCTAGGCAGGTGCTGTACCACTTGAGCCATTCTGCCAATTGACTAACAGCAATTTCAAAAATGAAAAAGAGTTATATGTAGCTGGGAGTGGTGGTATATGTCTGTAATCCCAGCACTCAGGAGGCTGAGGCAAGAGGATCACAAGTTTCAGGTCAGCCTGGGGCTACAGAATGCATAATGAGACTCTGTCTCCACAAAAAAAAGGAAAGAAAAAGAGTTCTATGTAACAAATGGACAGTTCTCAATCGCAAACTCACAGATATACACGCAGTACAATTTTATTTGTATAAATAAACAGTACCACATCTTTATGACTGCATATATAATTAGCAGAAGTATAAAAACATGAACTGAAAAGAAAGACATCAAATTTGTGATAGTGTTTAGCCTTGAGGAGAAAGGGGAATGGAACTGAGAGAAAGATTCAAATGATACCTCATAGCCGGGCGCCAGGCGGTGGGGGGGGGGGCTCAAGCCTGTAAGCTACTCAAGCCTCTAGTTATTCAAGAGGCAGAGATCAGGAGGATCATGGTTCAAAGCCAGCCCCAGGCAAACAGTTCGTGAGACCCTATCTTGAAAAAGTGCATCACAAAAAGGGGCTGGTGGAGTGGCTCAAGTTGTAAGAGTGAGGCTCTGAGTTCAAACCCCAGTGCCACCAAAAAAAAAAAAAAAAAGAATTTCAGATACTTCACCACCTTATCTATTTACCTATAATGTTTGCTTTAAGGTTTAAAAAGATCTGAAGCAAATACACAAACATTAACATTTGTTAATAAGGAATTGCAGGAATATGACCATCTGTTTTTATTTTCCAAAAATAAAATTAAGTCACACATCAGAAAATTTCCAAGGTCTCCATTCAATTCTCAGGAAACACTGACCACTGACTGACAACTCTAACAAAAGTCACAGACACTTAAGTAAATGAGGTAATTTACTCTTACAGACTTTTTAAAGTCTTCAATAATTACTTTCACTTTAAACTTGTCCAGTATACCTGGGGTTATGACTTTGATTTGAAAGTTATAGATGACCTTCACATTGACCTCAACCTTTCCAGTCCTCATCATCTGCTACCTCTATTGCTCAACCACCACAAGGCACAACATTCTTCTTATTCTTAGCATTTCCAGTTGTGCACTGCAGGTCTCATGATACACTGACCTTCCTAATCAATAGGTTATTTGTTTGAACTCCTCTTTAGTGACCTGACACAATTTCCATGACTTATGGTATTCCCAAAGCTCCTGTGTACTTTAAACAATTAAAATTTTGTTGCATTTTTTACCCTTCCAATGAAGCAGGGGCTTTATAAGATTTCTAATCCTTTGCCTTTTCTTCCACTGAGTTTTTACTTTTTTTTAACTGAATGTAGAGATAGGTTCTTGCGATTCTATTACAACTCTGTAATGGGGTATGTTAGGTAACACAATGGAGAAGAAGAGTCTGTTCACAAATATAGGCTGAAGAGAGATGAAAGGTCCAAATTCATAGTTAACAAAACAAAAATAGAAGCCTGACAGAAATAGCTATGAAATAAGCCAGGATTTATTTAACTGTACCTCTGTGAGAAGCTAGGACTTAATGTGGTGTTCCCCAAACCACTTTCCTGTTTTCTATGCTCTTTTCCCTGCATCCTCTCCCCTAAACTTGGTTGTGTAAGAAAAGAAAACTTCAGTCTCTACATTGGGTTAAAGGACAGTCTTACTATGGCCTGAATCAGTATGAAAAGAAGGAAGGAGGAAAAAAAGAAAGGAAAGAAGGAAGGATGGAGGTAGGTAGGTAAGGTAAGCAGGAAGGTAGGGGAAGGCAGGAAATCTTGGGAAATCAGATGTGGAGAAGAGTAGAAGGGAGGTAAACTGTGTAACTTCTTTATCCTTTAGAATTTAGAGCTGCTTCATCACCCTCTAATACCCTACATCATCTTGCACTTGATGATGGGTTCCTTCAGTGGTAATAGAATACTTCCAACATAGAAAAACTCCTCAGACCACCAGTGCTATGTCCTTTCCACCTTCAAAGGTGGACCCCTCACTTCCTTCTTAATGCAATTTTTTTTTTTTTTGCGGTACTGGGGTTTGAACTCAGGGCCTCACGCTTGCAAGGCAGGCATTCTACCACTTGAGTCACTCCACCAGCCCACCTTAATGCAATTTTTAATACTTCATACATATTCTTTATTCTGATAGAATCTACTGCTGCCTGTTCGCAGTATTAACTCACTCACACTGCCTTCTTTCCCCAACTTGCTTTAATGACTCTTCACTGACTGTCCTAACACTGACTGCTCCCCACACTGACTGCTGCCCCTCCCCCCATCACTGGTCAACTAATCCAATTAATCCAGTTAATCCTACCACTCGCTGATTCCCCGGTATTAAACAGTCCTTCAAACCCTCACATGAGTCGTTGCACTTTGTATCACTTGTGTGTGAGTGTGTGTGCGCGTGTGTGTGTGACAGGATCTCTCCATGTAGCACAGGCTGGCCTTGAACTCCAGATCCTCCTGTCTTGGTAACATCTTCATAGTGTACCCTCAATGACCCCCTACACACTAGGACTGGCTGAGATCCATTCTTTGCTCACACTGCCCCTCTATGGAGGTTCACCTCGTCCCCACAACCCATTCCTCAAGAAGACCCTCTCGCCTGTACACTCCATTCCTTCCCCTCCGCGCGCAGACCCCCTCCATCCTAACTCTCCTCTGTCCATGCAGTCCTTCGCTGCTCGCGCCCATCCCCTCGGCTCTCGGTCCCCTGTGCGCTCCACTCCTTCTGCACCAACGCAGCGCCCCCTCCACCCAGACTCTTTCCTGTCCATCCCAGTCCTGCGCTGCTCGCGCAGACACTCTCCACCCGGACCCTGTCTCCTGTCCACCCCACTCCTTCCATCCTCCCGCAGGACCCCCTCTTCCTCACGCCGAACCTTACACACCCATCTCTTCTCCCGCTGACCCCCTCCTCTGTCCTCTCGGTCCACAGCTCCCGGGTCACGAATACCGCCCTCGCATCCAGACTTCACTAGCCTTTGCCCGCCCCCGCCATCCCCGCCTCACTCTCCCTACGCTGACATTGAGGCCTCTCCGCTGGGCCTCCTCCCGAGCCTGCCCCCACCGGTCAACTAACCATGGCCCTCAGTGCAGACCGAGCCCACTCTGCCCAGCCCACCCTCTCCGATACCGCCCCCAGCCCCCAGCCACTCCCCCACCGCCCCTGGCCCGCACTCACCCGCCTCCCTCCGCGCGCGCAGCCGAACCTGCCGGCAGCGACACCTGACAGCAAACCAATCAAAACGCTACTTCTTTGCAGTTCCACCAATCAGCGGAGGGCGCGCACCGGCAACAGAGTCAGGCTGCGTTGGCCGGCGCTCCTGCACGGGAGAAGGTGGCTCCCTAGTGGCCCTGGCGGGGAATGCAACCCGATGTTCCGCCTCTGATTTCTTACTGCGTCGCCACAGATCTAATGCTTGGTCTAGACTGAGACGTTTCAATGAGATCAATGGTAAGAAAAGAGCGAGAGCCAGAGGAAGAGACACAGTTTGTGCCATTGCACCTCCTCGAATGCAAAACCAAATCTTTTATAAGACATACGGGGGTGTGATATACGTTGATATTCAATAAACATAGACTGAAAAATGTAAGATATAAAAAGGAGTGATAGGGACACTGGAGAGAAAAACAGTAACAAAGAGTAGCAGATGAAAAAGTTAAGCGGAAGAACAGAGAGATTTATTTGTGAAGGATACAAGAAAATTGTTGGAAGTCCAGACAAGTCTCTACCCTCCCGACTTGGAACTGTAAATCTGGGTTTGAATCCTGCCCTTACCTTCCATAGCTATGCAGCATTGAGCAAGTCACTTGATTTTCCTGCGCCTCTATTTTTCTTAGCTTTAAGAGTGGGATTAAAATATAATTTATTAAGGTACAATATTAGCTTTTTCTCGCTGTTACAAAATACCTGAGAAAAACAACTTAATGGAGGAAAGATTTATTTTGGCTCATGGTTGCAGAGGTTTTAGTTCTGGTCCCTTTGCTCCATCACTTAGGGCCTGAGATAAGGCAGAACATTTTGGTAGCAGGATTGTCATAGAGCAAAGCAGCTCATTTCATGGTGGACATGAAGCAGAGGGATAGGAAGGGTCAAGGGACAAGATTTTTCTGTCCAGACCATGCCCCTAAGACCTGCATCCTCCAACTAGGTCCCATCTCCTACTTTCATCATCTTTCAATAATGTCATCATATCATCCACCCTGGGACAAATCCATTGATTAGGTCAGAGCCCTTAAGGATCCAATCATTTCCCAAAAACCTATGAACTGGCAACCAAGCCCCCAATATATAAGCCTGTGGAGGACATTCTGATTACATGAAAGCATTTTGTATATGTTTGAATTGTTATTATTATCTTTGCACCTTCACTTGGGTCTCCCTGGTCAGGATAGTTTCATGGTCTCTGTTTCTTCTCTATAACCTTAGCCATCTTGCTACTTTTTCAGTCAAGTGCCTCATGGTACCCCCAAAAGAAGGTCTCCTGAATGGAGAGAGATGATTCTAAGAACAGGTTCTAAGTACAACAGATGCTTCCCCAACTCAGGCTCAGACTCATACCTCCTCCACCACTCTAATCCTTCAAACAAGTTCTTACAAAAATTTTCAGGTATTTAACTTCTCCTATCATTCCCCTGAAAATGTGGACTCTATTCCTAGTCATACAATAAAATTATCCAATTCAATTAATTAAATGATACATATAAATTTTCTTTGTAATTGTAAAGTGCTTTTAAATATTACACACTGTTGACAATAATTACTATTAAATAAACCAAACACCATGTGTATTTTCTTCCCATATGCAGTATGATAATTTTTTATGTGTATTAATACATTATATGCCTGTCAGAGGCTCACAAAGAACAAGAAAAGTACACAAATATATTTGTTTTCTCAGTGCAGCTATTATTCAAATTTGGACAACCACTCTCCAAACTTGAGTGATTTCTCCACTTCTCTGGCAGTCTTCTTCTAGAATTCTCTCTTCCCACCCCCTACCTCCTTAATACCCCCTCAGTCAAATAACAACCCTACTGCTCTGAAAGGTTATCTCCCTCTTTTATCTGGGTAAATACACACCATTTCAGGTAATTATATTCACTTACTCATAGCTGCTCCTTAGCCTAGGTAATGAGAACCCATAGCACAGGTAACATTTTTTGTCTCTCCAAAAGTGACCACATTCCAACTGCAGAATTCTACCTACTCTTCTCCTACAATTAGTAGGAGAAGGAGTTAAGTGATAGACCCATAAGAGAGGTAGATAGCTTCAAAGAATATCCACAAATGTGAAAAGTGGGGAAAAGCACATAAAGGAGGCTTGAAGGGAAGAAAGAGAAGGAGAGTATAGGTATGGTATAGGTATGGAGGCATTAGTGGGGCTGGTAAAGGTACAGGAAAGTTGTCTTTCCAAAATACTCCCTAATATTTCCAAGTAGTCATTGTCTTGTGGGTACATGGGATAGCCAAGGGAAGGGACTAATGCCAATACGTGGTGTACTCCACCTTAACTGACCCTCCATATTGAAGTTCCACATTCCTAGTTCAACTCAGCATTCATTCGTCTTCCCTGCCAGGAAAAAAATCAAGTTACACTCAAGTCACACTTGGAACTGTTGAAACAGCCCTCTCAAGTCTGAATGTGAGCTTTCTAAACAGAGAAAGAAGGAGAGGGGACCAGGAGAAAGGCAGAGATTTCCTGATGACCTTATGCCCTTGGACACCACTCGCTTTACACTGTGGATTACACAGCATTAAGGAGCCAAGAGAGGAAACATGTGGTGCCTGGAGACCTGTGCCTGCCTGTTCCATTCCACACCCAGTCATCTCACCACACCCTTCTCTCTTTATATTCCGCCCCAGTCCAGGAACTTTGAGCCACAGAGAGGGAGAGAAGGAAGAGGAAACACAGTTCCCTGCCCAACCCCAGCCACACATACACCTAGGGCAACCAACAGGTAGGCAAGCTTGTGGAGATTGCTCAGAGAGAATCCTGGGAACAACGAACAGGTTTGAGCCTGGAAAAGACGAAGAAAAGTAAGAGATCAAAGGCGAAGTAGGGGATGGGGAGGAGGGTGGAGGGAAAAAATAGGGAATCATGGGAAGTGTAGGCAGGAAATAGGGCTGCAGACTTAGGGGAAGGGGTAGTGGTGGGAGACAAAGCATAGATGGGATGAGTTAATAGTTCTCTAATTCTTCTCAGGGAATTCTTTTATCAACTTTGTTAGCAGAGCATAGGTATAGTAGGGAGGCGTCTCGGTCCTCTTCCTGGTTCTTAGGTAAAGGTGACCTTGAGTGAGCGGTGTCTTTTCCAGTGTTTGCCTCTAACCCTGTGCTTTCTCGGTGTCTTCCTCTGGTATCCGTTTTTATTCCGCGGTTTTCCCCGCGGTTGCTTCCCGGGGGAAGATGGAGAGGTTGCTAGGGGGTAGACAGAAATCAGAGAACAGATTGGACAAAATCACCCTTTCATACCCACAAAGTAGACGGATCGGGTTTCGGTTAAAACAGAGGGGCTTGGGGTGGGTAGGGTGTTCTGGTTTCTCTAATCCCCGTGGTGCTGTCCTCTACTTGGTGCTGAAATCTGGGCAGCCGCATCCCAGGTGGGTCTTCATCCCCCTCTCTCTAGAGTGCGAGTCTAGGGTCTCCTAATTACCTGGCTGGTGCTGCCCACCCCGCCTCCGCACACCTAGCTCGGTGGCAGGCGGGAGGGCGGAGCCCGAGCGAGCCCCACCCCTGGAGACTGCGGCTCGCCTCCTCTCCCCCGCCCGCCCGCCCGCCGCTAGCTCACTGCGCCTCTCCTGCAGCCAGGTTGGCACTGGCTCCCACTCCGGATTCAGCCTCCACCCCGACCCCCATTTTGACATCAGCCTCGGGCTCAACTCCGGCCCCCAGTCTGCCCGATTGCATCCTCCCTCCCTCCCTCTCCGGCCTGACTTGCGCCAGAACCTGCTCCTCCGGGATCCAGTAGCCGCCCCCCAAACCATGGCTGGTCCCTTCTCTCGTCTGCTGTCCGCCCGCCCTGGGCTCAGGCTCCTAGCTTTGGCCGGAGCTGGGTCTCTAGCCGCTGGGATTCTTCTTCGCCCGGAACCCGTACGAGCCGTCAGTGAACGAAGAAGGATGTACCCCCCGAGGTATCAGTGCCTGAGACGCACGGGAGGGGGAGTGCGTGATGGGAACGAAGGTGGGGGGTTAAGAGTAGGAACTGGGCAACAGATAAGGGCTATAATTATGAAGGCCCTGGAGCTGGGAGGCTGTACGGTTTGGAGACCCCGGCGGTGTGGGAGTGGGGCCAAATCCACAATGCAAGAATATTTCTGAGGACCTGTCACCTGGAGTCCCCGCCCCCAACCAGTTCTGACCCTACGAATTCCAGTTGCTTCCACTGCGCAAATCCCTAATTAAGACCAGAAACTATCCTTTTTGTTCTTCACCTCATTTTCCTACTCATTTTCTGAATTATCTTCCTTAGTATTTGCCCCTCCCCCATCTCTAATATTATGTTCATGGGCGGAAAGAACTATGCAAGTCAGGAAGAGAATTGAGCCAACAGTGACAGGCAGCTGATATTGGGAAAGAATAGACCCTGAAAGTCCCTAAAGAGATTATCAAGGCTTAGTCTACCTCTAATTCCCCCTCCTCTAAGGAGCAAAGCCAGACATGGCTAACTGGACAGCTTCCAGCTGACAGCAGTAGGCCTAGTCTCCTGTGCCCTCCCTCCATGATTACTGGGTACCCCCTCCCCAGCGCTGAGTACCCAGACCTCCGAAAGCACAACAACTGCATGGCCAGTCACCTGACCCCAGCAGTCTATGCACGGCTCTGCGACAAGACCACACCCACTGGTTGGACGCTAGATCAGTGCATCCAGACTGGCGTGGACAACCCTGGCCACCCCTTCATCAAGACTGTGGGCATGGTGGCTGGAGATGAGGAGACCTATGAGGTAGGGGGGACCCCCAAGAGTCTCCCTGGTAACCCAAGTCATCTTCCCAGTAATCCCTCCCCCTAAACATCCCTCACTTTCCCTCAAAAGACTATGAACTGTCCACACACAAGTTTTCTGACCCAGTGAAATTAATCCACAATTGAAGTCTAGGGAGGGACTTCCTCTCTGTAACCATCTCTCCCACTTACCTCTCCTTCAGATATTTGCTGAACTGTTTGACCCTGTGATTAAAGAGAGACACAATGGATATGATCCCCGGACAATGAAGCACACCACTGATCTCGATGCCAGTAAGGTGGGCCAAATAATCCACTTCTGATTTGCGTTGCCTTATGTACAATATTCTTTATCTCCAATCCCTTCACCTTGTTTATTTCCTGAGTCATGGTTATTATACTGCTGAGCTTTCAATCTTGATGTGAAAAAAAGAATCATAGTTTAAGGGAACAGTAGATATTGCAAAGACAGGGTGAATAGGAATGAGCATGCGCCAAGGTGGGAAGTTTGGGGAAGGATCCACAATGCCCCTCAATGGGCCTCTCCTTCCAATGTATGCAGTAGGAGCCCTCCGATCCCTGAGATCTCTCCTCCCCAAGGACCCTTATTTTCGTCCCACTGTGTTTCTGTGACTTATATTGATTTTCCTCATCCCTCAGATCCGTTCTGGCTACTTTGATGAGAGGTATGTATTGTCCTCAAGAGTCAGAACTGGCCGAAGTATCCGGGGACTCAGTCTGCCTCCAGCCTGCACACGGGCAGAGCGACGAGAAGTGGAACGTGTTGTGGTGGATGCACTGAGTGGCCTGAAGGGTGACCTGGCTGGACGCTACTATAGGCTCAGTGAGATGACAGAGGCTGAGCAGCAGCAGCTTATTGATGTGAGGGGCCTTGAGAGGGAGCTGGGGTGAGGGGTCGATAGAAAAAAAGAGTCAGAGGGGAGGCTGGGCAGGATGAGATAGGCTCGAGGCCTAGTGGCTACAGTGAGAATTCCCTTTACTCTCCTCAGGATCATTTTCTATTTGATAAACCTGTGTCCCCATTGCTGACTGCAGCAGGAATGGCTCGAGACTGGCCAGATGCTCGTGGAATCTGGTATGAGGCTGCTCCTTACCTCGTTTGTCCCCCATGCCCACAAAAATGCTTTTTTTCCCCCTCCATTTCCCCCAGTTCTTGTCTTTCCTCTTGATCTCTTTACCTCTTATCCCCAGGCACAACAATGAGAAGAGCTTCTTAATCTGGGTGAATGAGGAAGATCACACACGGGTCATCTCTATGGAGAAGGGTGGCAACATGAAGAGAGTGTTTGAAAGATTCTGCCGGGGCCTCAAAGAGGTTGGAGAAGGGTGTATAGGTGGGAGGAAAACCAAAGAGCAGCATAAGCAGATTGACTGTATCATTTATCAACCAACCCAGGGTGTTTCTGATAGTAAAAGGGTCACCATTAGTCATTCTAAGACAGTAGGTATAAATGGAGACTGTCCTTGGAAAACCAGGACATATGGTAACCCTAAAAATAAAAAGAGAGAAAAAATATCAGTAACCTGAGGAAGTAAATAAAGCAGTTGCCAGATAATGCAAAGCAGGAATAACTGAGATGGGAAATCAGATGGGCATGTGATGTGGGATGGTGGAATGTACAGATAAGGAAAACACTTCAGCCAGGATAGATGTTGGAGGTGAAATATTGGTGTGTTTGTTTTAGCTATAGTAACCTCCCCAGTTCTGAGCCAATATAGACTTTGACTGTGGATTTTGTCATTCTTGCTCAAGTATCATAGCTAGGCTTTAAGCTGAGAGTGGGAGAGAGACTGGGGAAGGTGGAGGATGGAATGGCTCAAGTTCTAGAATGTGTTCCTCTAGATGAGGGGGTGAATCCACAATCCTATATGGATGCGGTCTCCATATTCAATTCCACATTAGAAACTTCCATAAACCCAATTATTATAGAATGTTCTCATATATATAGTTTTATTTTGAACTCGCAAAGATAGAAAGCTTCCCTTTTAGATTTTAGCTGGAAAGTTTACAGTATTTTTGGCAAGAAGTGGATAACATTCTGACTATGAGTGGGTAAGGAAGTACTCTTTAAATTATATGACTTTATTTCCTCATCTGTAAAATTGAGATAAGATTGCCTACATTTTAGGCTGTTGTGGGGATAAAAGGAAATAATGCAGAACTCCACAAAAAGAGTTCAATAAGTGTTAGCTGTGTTATTATTCTTGATGGAAGGGGTTGCCCACATTCAGCATGTAAGAATTCCCCATGCCATAAGTCTATCTCAACTATAAACAGGGTCCTCTTTACTTATGTTTGATAGTAGTTTTTGTGTCCATTGCTCTGGTAGATCCCATCTCTTCATGATTAGCTTGATCCTATCATGATTAGAATGGTTAAATGAAACACTCTTCCCGTGCCCCCTCTTGCTCTCACACACACATACCTATGAATCTTACTTTTCTGCTCTTTCACATTTCTTTCTGCTTTCCTACATGTGTAGCCTCCTATGGATAACAGAAGGCTCTTTTGCCGCTTCCTGTTGCAAATTTCTGAGAAATGAGAAAGCACCTTCTGCTCATTAGCAAAGTCAAGATAATCCAGAAATCATTGAATAATCAATACTTTCTCAGTTTATTTCCCTAGATCATCCTTAATGCATCATTCCCTCAAGTTTCTTTCCTTCTACAAACAGTATATTTTTCCACTATCTCGTCATTATGCACATAAGTGCATCATAATTTTGTAACACCAAAGTTAACTTGCATGCATGATGATAACAAACCAATTTTTAAAAAAAAGAGCAACGTCATTCATTCACACCCAAGGTTCTGATTCTAGAACTATCTCTAGAGCTTCTGTCAGTGTAGCTAAGGGCGAGTCCACATGTCCCTGGTTGTTCGCTAACAGAATGTTTGTGCATGCAGGTAGAGCGGCTGATCCAGGAGCGTGGCTGGGAGTTCATGTGGAATGAGCGTTTGGGATACATTTTGACCTGTCCATCTAACCTGGGCACTGGACTTCGGGCAGGAGTCCACATCAAACTGCCCCTGCTAAGCAAAGTAAAGAGTTGTGGGGTTAGAGAGGGCTGTGCATGAGGAGGGAGGGGTGGTTATGGATAGGGAGGGAGAGAGCACTTTGAAAGGAACAAGGCACAGAGTGACTAAAGGGTGAGGGGAAAAATCTCTGAACACAAAGGAAGAGTCTCTGCTCTTTTGACTTTGACCCCCTGATCCCTACTCCCCCCTCAGGATAGCCGCTTCCCAAAGATCCTGGAGAACCTAAGACTCCAAAAGCGTGGTACTGGAGGAGTGGACACTGCTGCCACAGGCAGTGTCTTTGACATCTCTAATTTGGATCGACTGGGCAAGTCAGAGGTGAGATCCTAAGGGACTGGGATAAGGAGAGGTACAGGTCTATGGGGACTGAGGTGTGGCAGTGAGTGAGGCTCAGAAACATAACAGAATCTGAGATGAAATTCAGGTTGAGTGGGGAGTCAGTTGGCGCGATTTCAGAGCAGGAAAATCAGTCAGTGCTAAAGAAAGAAACCCAAGATGGTGGGGAGCAGAGATCAAGGATTAGTGTTCTTCAGGTGGAATTGGTGCAACTGGTCATCGATGGAGTAAACTATTTGATTGACTGTGAACGGCGTCTGGAGAGAGGACAGGACATTCGCATCCCTGCACCTCTTGTCCACAACAAACATTAGCTCCCCATTCCTGGCAGATGACTCAAGAGCCCCAGGACTTCTGCCCATTTAATGGTGGCCCATTCTATTTGCCCTAGACCTGTCCCCCACCCCCAGCCTCCATCCTAGTAAAGACTCCCTGCTATGTTCCAGTCGTCTGTGTTATTTATATTGATGGGGTGAGGAGGGAGCAGCCTCCAGAAAATGAGGTGAAGCAGTGGGGTTATTTATGATGGAAAAAGTCTCCAGATATGGCATGCTAAGAACACTGAATCTCAGGTGGGTGGAAAGCATTAGCATTTTACCCATAATCCTCATCAGCTTCCTGAGGATAATTAGGATACACTTCCATTTGCATTTTATTCATTATGACGTTATTATTTCTCTCCCAACAATCTCCCTCAGCTGAAAAGACAGGATCATAGCAGCTGGTTAACAAAGCTGATGAGTAATGCCAGGGCCCAGGGGGATTCTGACCAGTCCTGGAGGCCCCACGCTGAGCTTCGACCTGTAAACAGACAAAGAATGGAGGAATATCACAGTTCTGCTCCCTGGGAGCCATTGGGACTTAGAAATTAACTCTCTGCCTACAGACCCTTCTACTCCAGGGGTCTCCCTGGGCAGGAGTTAAGGGCCAGACAGCACCAAGTTCAGGCTTTAGATTCTGGGTAAGGAAACAGAGTATCACCTGTGCAGTTAGGAACTCACCCTGCTGTTCTGGGCTCTCTTTTCCCTCATACTGGGCCCATGCAACTGCTCGTCGCTGCTCAGGACTCAGAAGGGCCATTTGCTCAGGAGTGACAGCCACAGCCTGAACACTGGTGAGACTAGATAGCTGGGTAGGATTGAAGACCACCTGGAGGTAAAGACAGGAATCAGTGTGTCCATGTAGTCATGGGTCTTGGCTCACCTATGGTAACCCCAGATCCCAGTCTATCAAAACTTACGGCAAATTTAGGAGCAGGGATGGCAGAAATGGCAAGAGGGGTCAGGCCCTGAATCTGTCCCTGCAGTAGTGCTGAAAGAGCCAGGTCTGGGATGCCAGCTGTTGAAGGAAGCAGGATGCACCTAAATGTAATAGACTAACTTTTTTCCTATTCTTCAAATCTATAGGTCTGGGAATGTAGCTCAGTGGTAGAATGCTTGCCTAGTATGTACAAGGCTCTCCATTTGCTCTGTAGCATTGAAAGAAAACAAACCTATGAACTTCTCCTTCAACTCCTCCCAAAGTACCCTACCATAGACCTCCCTCAAAGTGTCTTCAGTCCCTTACCTAAACATATTCTCAGAGTCCACCTTAGGAAGTCCAGAGCAGTCCTCCACCCAGTCCACCCATGGTATGGAAAACAAACCCCAACAGCTAACAACAGCAATGGATCAGCCTTCCCACCTGCTATTGTGCCGATTTCAGTGAAGATCTCAGGCCCCCAGTTACTGACTGGGCCAAAGCCACCGGGCAGCACAAGGAGGTGGGCCAGAACCTCCAACTGTTCCTCGGAGCATGGAAGATGCAGGTTACCCAGGAAGAGAGCTGCTTGGCTGTGGAGGGGTGGGAAGGGAGACAAGTTCAGCTTCAGTGATAGAGGCTGTGGTCATGAGACAGGGAAAGGATAGCTTCATATGAGCTCCCTCCATGGGACGACCCCTTCATGAGCCCACCTTCACCTTAGCACTACCACCCACAACCTCTTCACAGGTGACCTAAACTCCCAACTGTTGATATGTTGTAGCTCCTCTGGCCGTAGTCCACAGAGTGTGTAACCCAGTGCTGTCAGGTGAATGAAGTCCAGGTGGCTCACATGCTGACCACTCTGCCGTAGAAAACTGGAGACCACAACCCGGAGCTGGGGTGCAAGTTGGGTGCATAGGATAAGGAGAGGAATCATGGGGAAATACTGAATGGGGAAATGGTTAGGGGACTGGTAGGTGCTGCTGGATAATAATATTCTTTTATTATTAAGATCAGAAGATTCAATGGCCGTGAAGAAGGTCAAGGACATCCCCTTCAAACAAACAAAAGGATAGAAAAAAAAGAGGCTTCAGAGAAAAGAGGCAAGAGAGAAGACTGTCCAGGGCCTCAGAGTGAATAAATCACTGATTTCCCAAGGTTACTAGTATGGAGCATTAAGAAAAGATAGAAAAACAACCAGGGAGGATCACAGGAAAAATTTTCTTGAGTTTTGGTTAACCTATAGGATTGGGTCTGTGGGATGCATGTTTGGGGAGTGTTACCTGGACAGAACTCCAGCCATCTATCTGTCCCAGGGTGCTCAGCACTCCCCAATCCACCAGGATCAGTTCCTGTAGCTCCCTCTCTCCTAGACCTATTAAGAGCCGCCCCAGCTGTAGGATCTGCTCAGGACGGAATTCTCGGGGAGGGCCCCACAACTAGGAGAAAGAAAAGAACAGGAATGGAAAAAACACTGACAGAGTTAGAATACTGGATCTTAGTCTTGTCTCTGACCTTAGCAGTGGAACTCTGGGAAGATTACTTGTTTTTTCTTTAGTTTCCTCCACAGTAAAATGAGAGAGTTCTTCTAACTTAGGGGTTATTGAAAGACCCTAGAGTCTCAGTAGAAGAGAAAAGCAAACTACTCCATGAGTTTTAAACTTTTATGTGCACCAGACTCACTGAGGTTCCTGTTAAAATGGAGATGCTCAGAACCAAACCCTAGAGATTCTTAGTCAGTCCACATGGCACCCCAGCAATAGAATTTGAAAAACCTGCTCCCCAGATGATTTTAATACACACTAAAATCTGTCCTCCACTGAATTAGCTCCCTTTCCTCAAAATTGATTTCCTCCGATGTCCTACTTGTGATCCAAAACCTCTAATTCTATCTCCTGTTTTCCTCCCTCTCCCCAACTCTCCATTCCCTTGAGTCCCTCATCACACCCAACCAACCTTCCCATGTTTTTTCCCTCCTTTTACCTATTGTCTTCTCCATCCCTAACCTGCTTTGCCTTGCCCATGGCTGCTCGTAATTCCTCAGGCCCAAGTCCTGGATCTCCTGCAAATAGTGCCAGGCAATCCTCAAAGTCTGATAGTTCCATTTCTGCAATCTGCATTGCAGACCAAGCTGCTGGAAAGGTCCCCCGTATGTCTGCACAATTCGGTATTAGCTCTGAAGGGGAAAGGCAGGGCCGGAGGGTCAATGTAGCATTAAAATATGCCTAGAGATATCTGTAGATGGAATGATCTTTTCAACCTTTAGAGGATGGGGTAGTGTGGGCAGTGTGGATCAAAAGATGATTGTAGGGTAAATTTATAGGACTCAGAGGATGACGATTTGCAAATCTGCTCAAAGGGCACAGTACACATGAGATCCTTGACTTCTTTTTTTTTTTTTTTTTTTGGTAGAACTGAGATTTTAACTCAGGGCTTCATCTTGCAAAACAGATGCCCTACCACTTAAGCACCAGTCCATTTTGCTCTAGTTACTTTAGAGATGTATTTTGCCCAGGTTGGCCTTAAACCATGAATCTCCCAATTTCAGCCTCCCAACTAGCTAGGATTACAGGTGTGAGCCACCATGCCCAGCTGAGCCCAGACTTCTGACTGCATTGTTTGATACCCTCTCCTGTACTTCCTGCTGGACATATGAGTATTTGGGTAGCTTCACCTGGAAGATCCTCTGCAGCTGGCTGCACAATCCCAGCTACCAGAGCTGCTTTCTTGGGTGTGAGCTGTGGTCCCCCACACAGCTGTCCAACTCTGCTCTGCTCCCAGCTCTGCTGCTTTTCTAGAAGCCGCTCCAGGGTCTCTGGGCCCAAAGCCTCCTGCATGAGAAAGTAGAGGGAGGGTGGGGAGACCTGGACAAAGTCAGCGCCTGCTGCAGCTATAATAACAAAGTCCTGTCTCTGTTTAGCTGAATTCCCCAGACCCAGGCTGCACTTCTTTTGCCCTCCTTGGCCTGAGATACCCATAACCAGCTCACCAGTCTCCCTGTGCATTTACTCCCTCCCTTGTTCCTTCACCTCACCCTGGGGATCAAGGAAATAGCCTCCATAGACAGAGTGAATACTAGGCGTCCAACTTGCTCTACTTCATCCTGGCTCCACAACTCTGGTTTCCTGTGGGACAGGAAGGAGATCATGGGCTGGGGAGCTGAGGGAACTGGGTGAAAAAAGAGGACATGCTACAATTGGACACTCAGGGCTCCAAGGAACCTTTAAGCATATGGAATGGGCTGCCACTGACAATGGTGGTTAAGGGACTGGGAATAGGATTTATAATCTGAAGTTCCCAAAGGTCCATACCCAAGAACAGGCTCCTGCAACAGCAGCCGTCCCAGCTCTGTGGCAAATGTCTCTCCTAAGCAGAAGCCCTGTAGCTGATTGAGATGGGACAGCAGGATCGATAGGGGGATCCGTTGTGTGCTCTCTATCCCCAGGAATCCGACCAAGGGGCCCAATTTCACCAGCACTTCCTCTGAGATTGGGGTCTCCTTTGGAGCCTGGGAGAAAGGCATCAGGCCTTGGACAATGCACCTGACTCCAAGTATCAGACTCTTTGATCAAGATACCTAAGCCCTTTGACCTTCCCTCCCCTCCTGTTCCTTACTTAGCACCCTACAATAGTCAATGCCTTTGTACACTTTCTTAAACAATGAATGAGCTCAGACAGGACAAAGGAGAAAGATGAGAAGAGGAATCCAATGAATTTCTTGGACTTCAAGGGGGAATGGATAAAAACATGAAGCAAGCTATCAAGAATCAAGAGGCAGACCTAAAGGCTCAGACCTTATAGGGCCTTATAGAAAGGAACCTGTTTGGCAGCATGAAGATGGGGGTTGGGCCTGGAAGAGATCAGAGAGCACTACTTGAGGGACAAACATTGTCAAGGGTAGCAGATCTGAGTATGGTAGGGAGGACTCTTACCAGGTTTTGTAGTGCCTTCTCTGCTAGGGCAACCTGGTGGAGTGGGGTCAGTGCCAGCAGCTGCTCTGGAGCACCTTGTACCAGCTCCACCACCAACATAATAGATTCAGTGGACAATCTGTCCATCATCTGGATCCTATAATTGCAATTTGACAATAGGGGCACTCAGTTGGAACTGACCACAGAACCTTGCATCCTCCAGATATAACACCAGAACAAACCCTGTGACCTGGACAGGAACTGGTATCGCTGAACCAATTCCTACCATTTACTCAAAGGGAGAAAACAAAGAGAGTGACCTCTTTGTAGTCTTCATGAAAAAAAAAACAATCCTACTGATCTAATGGACTCAAAAACTCCAGATATTAAACACCACTAACTTTTTTCATAACTCTCTTGTGCAAATGAGAAACTTGGGTTTTCTAATTCATATCCAAGATCTTTCACTCATCCAGGACCTTGGTTCTAAAATATTTGAGAACCAACATATCTAAATGGATTTGAATGGCATTTTAAAAACAAAAACATGCCAGGCACCAATTGCTCACACCTGTAACCCCAGCTACTTGGGAGGCTGAGATTAGGAGGATTGTGGTTTGAGGCCAACCAGGGAAAATAGTTCATGAGACCCCATCTCCAACATAACCAGAGCAAAACAGACTAGAGGTTTAGCTCAAGTGTTACAGTGCCTGCTTTGCAAGTGCAAAGCCCTATGTTCAAACCCCAGTCCCACCAAAAAACAAAAATATCCTGTACTTTATACAGGATTGCAAATTATGGGACTGGGCCAAGTTGTATAGGAGACAATCTATGGAAAGGCTTATGAAAACAACTGCTTTTATCATCCTCATATCCCCAGGAACTGAAACCCAGCCTTTTCTGATTTGCAATTCAAATGGCAAGGGGCTGGATAGGTAAAAATGGGAAAAGAAGCACAAGTGTGAGATACTCATAAGCTAAAATCTCTGGGATGGAGGAAACTAAGGTTCACCTAGTCTTTTCTCCCCATAGAGCAGTCGATCTGCTCTATGACATTTCTTCCATGGGGCCATCCAGCTTAAGCTTGAATACTGCCAATGATCAGGAACTCACTTCCTTAATTTCCCTTAAATTGTGCAAAAATCTGATTTTAGCTCATTAATTTTAATCTTGTCCCATGGAATCATTCATAAATATTCCCATATACTTTCCACTTGATAGTCCCTAAGGTATTTGAAGGCATTTTTCACATTTTTCATATATTTTCTCTTTATCCACTCCTCTGAACAACTGAGAACACAGTACCCTTAACAGACTACAATCCTCTAGAGCAAAACTGGACCATTGTCTCCCTCAGTTAAAATACTCTATCTGTATTAATGTGGCCTAGATTATATTAAGATTATATGACTTCAGGGTACTGGTGGCTCACACTTGTAATCCTAGCTACTCAGAAGGCAGAGATCAAAAGGGTCACTGTTCAAGGCCAGCCTGGGCAAATAATTCATGAGACCCTATCTCAAAAATACCCGAAAGAAAAAAGGACTGGTGGAGTGGCTTAAGTGACAGAATGCCTGACTAGCAAGCATGAGGCCCTGAGTTCAAACCCCAGGAATGCTGAAAAAAAAAAAAAAAAAGATTACATGACAAGCCACAACACAGTCGCCAACCTCAGCTTCAGCTGTCCTATGCTGGGGCTATGCTCTGGGAGCTGGTGAATAAATGGCACAACCTTGAATATAATCCTCTGATTTGGTCTATAAATATCAGGAAACTACCAGACAGAGAATTGCCTCTTCTGGGGTATTTCTTAAGGGAAGACCTTCTACTCCAAGTTGAGCTTTCTGATGAGCTAGTATCTCCAACTGATGTACTTACGGTAATTCCAGGAGTAGCTTGGTGTCAAGACTACTCAGTTCTGGCTCCAAAGTGGTCAACTCTGGCTCCGGCATTGTCATTCTACGCTGTAGTTCTGCCCAGATACAGGTTCTCTGCACAACAGGACAGAGAAGCAGGGTCAGGACAGAGCTGAGTGTGGGGATTGTAGTTATGTACCTATGGTCCCAGCCTCCCTGCTCCCACTAACACCCAAGTACCCCCTCTCACCAGGCTCCCTCGAACCCCAGTGGGCAGTTGATACAGCATGTGTACCACATCAAGGAAGTCTACCATTGAGTTGATCTGTTGCAGAAACTCACAGGACATGCCCCCTGCCAGGTTGCCCAGAGCCCTGTGGGGGTGTGAGTGGGTAGATGCTTTTTAACACATGCCACACCTGTCTGCTCCATGATATCAATACCAACTCTTTCAACACAAGGACACATGTTCATTTATGGTCATCTATAGCTTGAGAAATGTTTGTACATAGTTATACTCGTTGGCTTCCCATAACATCGTCACTATTTATTAAAGAAGAAAATTAAGAATTATAGAGGTCAAGTGACATTCCCAACATTAATCTACTAGAAATAAACTAAGACTACATCTGTGTCTTCAGATTCTGAAGGTCCTGGTTCTTTTACTGTGGGTGTAGATAAGGTGATACGTACTTATTTCTTCAGTGGCTCTGAAGTTTCCTTGAATAAATTAAGAACAGCAGAGCTGGTGGAGTGGCTCAAGTGGTAAAGCACCTGCCTAACAAGCATGAGGCCCTGAGTTCAAACCCACCAAAAAAGAAGAATAAGAAGAAAAGAAGAAGAATAAGAAGAATACTGAATTTACATTGAATCAGGCACTGGGTTTAATATCATATATGTCTTATCTCATTTAATCTTCACAGTAATTACCTATAAAGTAAGTACTATTTTAATTCTCATTCTATAGAGAAAACTAAAGCTTATCGAGATTCAATGACTTGCCCAAGAGCATAAGTGACAGGACTGGGATTTGAACCTCTTCTGAGTCCCTTAGCTCTAGTTAGGATAGATGTGGCATTGTGGAAGGGCAGGAAAGCAAGGAGAGAGGGAGCCAGCAGAATGTTGATGAGGGTAGAGCTGCACATTGTCCATCTGTGTATCTTCTGCTGCACATCACACAGTGCCTGGCATATGACCACTCAAAAGATGTTAGTTGGGAGCTGAGTCTGTAGCTTAGTGATAGAGCATTTGCCTAGAATTTGTGAGGCCCTGGGTTCAATCTCCAGCAAAATAATAATAATAATAATAATAATAATAATTACAACAACAGTAATGCTAGTTGAATAAACTGACTGCCCAATGCAAGTTACTCACTGCAGATTCCTGAGGGTAAGGTTGGTGGGCACCTGCATCTTCTTCCAGAGAAACTGTGCCTATAAGAGAAAGAACAATGTTGGGCACTGGTGGCTCACACTTGTAATCCTAGCTACTCAGGAGGCAGAGATCAGGAGGATCAAGGTTCAAAGCCAGCCTGGGCAAATAGCTCCTGAGACCCTATCTCAAAAAAACCCATCACAAAAAAGGGCTTGTGGAGTGGCTCAAAGTGTAGACCCTGAGTTCAAACCCCAGTACCACAAAAAAGAAAAAAAGAAAGAAAGAAGAGGTATTTTCCAGCAGATATTACCCCAAGGACCTAAAATACCTTGAACTCAGTCCTGCCTCTCCACTCTATGGGTCCCTCCAGTCCCCACTCCCAAAATGTCTACTTCTGAAAAATTCCAAGATGGCAGCTAGAGGGAGGAAGCAGAAAGCGTGCCTCCTAAAGTAAAATCTTGGAGAGACGCTGGAGATACACCTTACAGGAAAAACCACCGAAAAGCGGCAAAACTTTGACTTCTCCACACCTCCAGCCTGCGCAGAGCATCTCCACTTCACGTTAAAGCGAGAAACCAGGAGGGCTCCCGCGCTGCCGCCAGACGCTAGTGCCCAGACGGCTTGGGAAGACGCCGATCACAAGGTGAGCTAAGCGGTACACGGTACTCCCACAGATAACCCTGGGCCAGCTCAGCATAGCCCCCTGGAGAGACCGACCCCCAAAATGTCTACTTCTTACAACTCACACACACACACACACACACACACAAGTGATCCCAGCGATAAGGCACCAAATATGGCAAGGGCTAAAAAAATTGGAAGAGATTGACAGAGGGTTCCTGAGGGAAGAAAGAGAATTACCTGCTGTTCAGACCAGGGCAGCTCCCGATAACGCCTTCGGTTTGCCAGAAGAGCCACAGCGTCCAGTTGTAGCAGCTTTAATGGGAGCAGGGGAAGCAGGCAGTCTGGCCAAGTGGTGGGGATGGGCTGCTGGCAGTGATGGGTGTAGCAGTGGAGTGATAGGTGAGAGGGTCTGCACTCAGCCCTCAGAGAAGGGGAGCCATGGGGGTAGAAAGGGATCAAAGCTAGGACAGGATGGAGTGACATTCACCAAGGCAGCAATGAACACCTAGGTGCCCTCATATTGTAGGCTGCTATGGTCATGTTCCTGCTAGCTAAGCACCAGATGAACTGAAATCCCCTAGCTTCTCTGAGTCTTGGTGTTTTCATATGAAAAGAGGGTGTCTGGCCAGGAAGATTTCTCAGGCCCTTCTGGCTTTGACTTTGTAGGACAGTGTGGGTCATGCTGTCTTGCATCTGGAACTGAGACAAGCTGCTAATATCTAAGTGGGCACAGAGCTAACTGAACATTCAGGGTCACTTCAGAGGGAGTGTGTGAGGTAGTATCAGCCAGATGAAACTTCCCAGAACATGGAGAGGAGCTCAGTTGGGAGATCTCACACATACCTGACCAGGGATACACACAGCTGCACCAGCACCTGTCGGACCCATATTTTTAACACCGTTTTTCACCTGCATGAGAATTGGCAGTGTGTGTTTTCGTATTTGTGTGTGTGTGTGTGTGTGTGTGAGTTTGGGTGTGTGTAAGGGAATGGGGAGGTAGACAGGGGCCTTCCCTAGCCACAAGGAAGAGGCTTTTCAAGTTTTTTCCCAACCAGCACCCATTCTCATTCTCATCCCATTCTCCCCGCTTATCTCATACCCGAAAGGTCTGCAGCAGTGCTGCAGTCTGGCAGGCTGAGAGACGCGACAGTTCAGGAGCCAGGCAGGAACAGGCCCCAACCAGAACTCGCCTAGGGATGGCCTGGAGGGTCTGGAGGTTAAGACCTGGCAGCAGAGGGTGCAAGAAGCAGAGTTCCTCCAGGGACAACTGAGGAACAAGAGAGACAAAGGCCTGAAGAAGAGGATGATGAGGAAGACAACAATCCAGTACAACAGGTATGAGGGGAGCCCAGAGGGCAAATGCAAGAGCCAGGAAAAAGGTAGACAGACATAGACCTCCAGGGGGGATGATGAGAAGTTGTTGCTACTCACATCTTGCCTAGGGAGGAGCCGTCCAAGCAGCAGGACAGCCTGGGATAGGATGGGACAGTAACAACAGCTCTCAGGCCTCAGCAGCTAAGCCCCAAACAAGTCTCTAGGACTACCCCTACCAAAACTTCCAGCTCCCTTTCAGCTACTCCCAGTCTGAGTGCCAGTCCTTCTTGAGCTGAGGAAGGAAAATGAGGAAGACCTCATTTTCACCTCTAGTGCTCACCCAGGGAAAGGAAGGGCTGATGTTATCTCTACATGTGATTCTCTTGACTAGGGCTCCCAGGAGTAAGACAGGTTTACCTGGGCAGGTGTGACACTGGTCCCCTGTAGAGCAGGAAGCATGGCTCTAAGCTGGGGCTCTGACAGCTCCTGCAGGAAGCGGAGGCCCAACTGAGAGAAAAGAGGGGCCCAGACCCGCAACTCCCGAGGGCTTAGCGCATCTCCTCCTCCAGACGAGCGCAATACCCCCAGAAGTTCATATGCCACCTGGAACCAAACAAGGTTTAAGATTGAAGAGAAAAGGGCTGCTGGAGTGGTTCAAGTGGTACAGCACCTGCCTAGCAAGCATGAGGTCCTGGGTTCAAACCCCAGTACTGGGGGGAAAAAAAAAGATTTGAAAGAAAAGACATTCTCCAAATCCACATCTGGATTCCCCAGGGCCTGGGCTACTGGGCTAGGACTTGGAACCAGGGATGGACCAGAGCAAATTAGGTTCAACATCAGAAAGCTTGTGCCTGGGGTGCCCTAGACCAGGTAGAATAGGGCTAGGAAGAGGTGGTAACAGGTAAGAATGAACATGGAGTATGAAATGGAAATGGCAGAAGTGGGGTAGGGAGTTGGCACCACTGTGATTGAGCTTGGTTGTTAACAATGAGCAAGTCATCCACACAGTCCCAGGGGACACCTGTGTAAAGGGGCTTACCCGTCCTTCCGGTCTGAGGGTCCCGTTGGCTGCACATTCCAGCAGTCCACGTTCTACTGGCCCCATTGGATCACTCAAAGGCACCAGACTCTGCAGTTCCTCAGGACTCAGGAAACAGGCAAGGGACCCAAGCCTGAGGGGGGCAGGCATGAAGCTGGCCTTCTTGTGGTCACTGAGGCCAGCACGAAGGCAGGGACTACATGAGTATATGGAATACTCTGACCTTCTGACCCCTAAACTAGGAAATGTCAGCACCATATATAGGCCTCTCTCCTGGAGCTCTACATTGCCCTACTTGGCCTGTCCCTGTCTCCTCTCTGGCCCCTTCCTGCCTAGGACACCTGTCTACCATATTATCTTTATCTGTCCCTATCTACCTCTCCCACTCTGACCATGGTCATCCATCTCTCAATCACTGACCTGCGCACTTGCTCCTTGCCATCCTCGACAGTCTGGTTCACCAGGCTTCGCAACACATGTCGGGCATGCCCTGGACCAAGACCTGCTCCTGGCCAGCTATCTTCCAGGGCCTGGATCTGAAATGGGGAGGGTCAACTCCAGTTGGGATCGCTGTGGGACACGGGCCCACTAGGAGACATGTCACTGACTCCTATCCCACCTAGCTGAAGATGGGCCAGTCAAGTAAAGATAATTATCATACCTGATGAGGGCTGAGCTGTAGAAAGTTCTCCAGAGGGAGGTGAGGGAGCAGGGGTAGCACTGCCCACAGAAGTTCCTGGGGCCAGGCAGGAACTTCTCCAAACAGCTCAGGGCCAACAGTCGCTTTGCCAAGGCCTCCTTCTGTTCAGGCCTCATTCCTGAGCTGTGGTCCCTGATGGCAGCCAGGCTGGGGAGAGTAATGGGTCTTAACCCTTTGCCTTCTTCCAAAATGCTATCCCTTAACCCTCTATAGCTCTGTTATCATGGACCGGAAGGAGACTCTTCCTGGTTTAACACAGAGCTCTGGAAGGGGATGTCCTAGTTGTATGGGGTTGGTTGCCCTACCACTGACAGTTGCTGGAGTAGTGCTTACACACTCTCATTGGCCAACAGGGATGGTGGGAAGCGCATCAGATCAGAGACTGCTAAGAAGGGGATGAGTGGCGACAGGTCAATGAAGAGCTGGGAGGTAAGACGTGGGTACCGCTGGAGCAGCAGGGCTGTCAGGCGACCCATGGCCTGCTCCTCCGATGGTGGTACCTATGGGGGCAAGGAATGGATGCTGACTCTGGAGATGCTCAGAATCCTTGCCATCTCCTCTTTGGAATCCCCCCTCCCACTAAGGCAAGCCCTCTGAACCCTAAGTTCCAGGTCCCCTTGATCCCAAGGTTCCCCCTCCATTCTTGCTCCCTTCTCCCTCTATGCCCACCTGCAGTTGGGCCCAGGAACGATGCATGAGTGTCAGGAAGCCCTGTGCAGCCTCCATCTCTGCAGAAAGCACGACCTGCTGGAGATTTTCTGGGGGCATGTGCAGGTATGCCTGAGAACAGAAGGTCATGGTGGCCATGACCTGACCAAGAAGGAAACTCAGGCTGTGCCTGTCACACAGCCCACCCATGTGCTCTTCCACCTGTTACCTGCACTAGAATCTTCAGAGCCCAAACACTCTTCTCCCTCTGGAGCAGATCCCATAGTATAGGCTGGTGGGAAGAAAGACAAGATGCCAAGAGAGGTTTCTTTCAACTCAATTTGTAGGGATGTTTGTCCTTCATCTGAAGCTAGTATGCATGTCTCTTCAAACAGTAAGCCCCTTTAGGTCTGGGGCTATGTCTCTAACTCCTCTTGTATCCTCTCCTGTCCATAGATGGTTCAACAAATACTTGTAGAACTGATCTTGCTCATAACAAACACTTGATGAGTCAATTATGAAAAGTAACATATTTTAAGCTCCTTCACTCTTCAAAGAAACTAGATCCCAGAAAGAAAAAGCTGAAATTAAATTACTTGCCTAAGGTCACAATAATTTATGGCATAGTTGAACCTAAGAAAATCTTTTGATTCATAGTTCCCCTGAATCTTTCTCATTTCTGCCTTACTTTCCTGTATTCTGCCAGCCCCCATTCTCACTTACTGAAGAGAGAAATCAAACCCTCTAACTTGATTCCTTTCCTTTCTGGAGCAGAAGAAAAGGAGAAGAGTCCAAAGAGTGTAAAAGAACAGTAAGAGAGTATTTATTGCATGTTTATGTATCACGCCTAACCCCACATACATATTATCTCATGCAATTTTTACAACCAGCCTAAAGTATTTGTACTGTTATTATCCCAAGTTTATAGATGTTGCTGTACAAGGTTGGGCACAGAAGTTGGGCACAGAACTAAGATGTGAACCAGTCTGTCAGACTAAGTAGCTGTATGCTTAAATCACCATAAGAACCATACTACTGCTTCTTTGTATTGGAGGAATTCCCCTGGAGGCCCTTTCTGGTTTGGCACAGGCAAATCACTCACACTGAAGCAGGACAGCAGCTCCATCTTGCTTATACCAGAGCCAAGGTTGATAGTGGGTTCAAAGCTTGATGGCGTTGACTGTTCCTGCTCCAGGTACTCCCCAACTGTCCGCAACACACTGCGTCGGCCCTCTGGGCGGAAGGCATCCCAGAAGGAGCAGTTGTCTGAGAGACTGGAGAGCAGCAGGGCCTGACCCAGCATCCCCTGGGTCTCAGCCCCTCCAGCTCCTGGACCCATAAGGAAGGTCAGCAAGCGCAGGAGATAGTGTAGGCGTGTGGGGTGGGCAAGAGCTGGTACAGAGGACTGACAGCGTGGCAACTGGGATAGCATGGCAAGCAGGAAGGGGCCAGGGGCCAGGCAAAGTGGGGATGGTCCCAGAGGTGGCAGAGAAGGTAGAAGGGGGCCCAGCAGCCCTTCTAGAAAGCAAGTGTCATTGCCCCCACGACTTATCCGGCACTGGCCTGCTAGCCAAGCCCAGAAGGGCACCAGGGCCTCATACATGGTGTCATTGGCACAGACCATCAGTAAAAAGCTGCCCCCATCTGGACAGCGTTCCCCACAGGGTCCAATGTGGCAGGGTGGGAAGGCAGTGGAATCCGGGGTAGGGCCCTGGCACACATGCTGAACCCAAGCCTGGTTTCTGGGGGGTACAGCCTGCAGACTCGCTTCCACACACATCCGCTCAGCCCAAAGAGTCTCATTCTCCAAGAAGCACCCCCAGAAGATCTCTGGGGTGAGGGGCACAGGGACAAGGCCTTCAGGACAGCTAGTAGGGGGTGGGAGCAGACCAGCACAGAGCCTCTTTACCAGGCGGCGGTTGGGGCCGGACAGAGCTGAAAAGGAGAGGTTGCTACAGATTGCATCCAGAAACTGCTCAGGAAACTGGTCATGGCAGGCTTGTAGCCAGCTTTGGGCACCCGGTGCCCATGAGACTGCATACCACACAGCTGTCTGGCAGATGGCACCGGTGCTTGGAGGGGGCTGTGGGGTCACAGGCCTGGCATGCTGGCAGAGCAAGTGGATGGAAAAGTTGGAAATGCTGTAGGGCGGAGCTGGGCCTGAGTGATTCTCACAGAGGGCCTCCAAAGAGATGGCTCGTCGTTGGCGAGGAATGATGTGGGCTAAGGGCTGGGAAGCCCTAGGCAGAAGCACACCCGAGCTTAGGCAGTGCAGGAGGGCAGGGGGTGGGGGTGGTGATCCAGACAGAAAGCCCAGCGCCTGGACATCCCAGGAAAGGTTGTGCCGGATACCCCTGGGTGCAGAGGGAAGAGCAGGCAGGATCTAGTCAGTTCACATTTCCTCCAGCTCAAGTTTTTGACCCTGGCCCAGAGCCCTACAGTGGGCATGACAAGTACAAGCTTTTCCAAAAATGAGATCCCTGAGAGTATAGGGGTTATTGTTTTAAATTTTGGGGTGGGGGAAAAGAAGAGAGATCTGTGCTGCCAAGGCACAAAATCACCTAGGACAGCTTCAGTGGGAGTCCCTTCTATCCATGTGCCTCCCCCCACCCCTTTTCACTTCTCTTCATCTGGGTTTAGATAGCTTAAACACAACCCTTGGCTGGCTTCGTATCAGGAAATCTGCCCAGAAACTGAATATGTGTTCTGGCGTTGTTGTACTGAATTAGAAAGGGAGTGGAGGAGTCCAGTCTTGTTCTCTTGTAACACCCCATATTTATTAGCTAACATTCATTAAGCACTATGTGCCAGGCACTCTTCTAAGCGGTTTACACATTCAGTATAAAATCATTTGATTCTTTGCAACAACTCTGCATTGGCTAATATTACCATCCTTGTTATACAAATGGGGACATGGAGGCACAGAAAGAGTATATGATGTGTCCAAGGTCACATGGCAAGGCAGAGGGGGAGCAGGGACACCAACCCAGTCACACTCCAAAATCAGTAATCCACTCTCCTCCCATCAGTTTTCAGCTCTGGAGGCTGATGCCTTCAGCTCTCTACCTCCAGATTTCCCAGGCCCAGCCCCTCAGGACTGGTCTCTTGTTACTTACCATAGCAGCAGCTGTTGAAGGTTACCTAGGAGAGAAAGAGCAAGGAAGAGAATTACTCCAATCCCACCTTCTTTCCCCACCACATCCCAGTCCCATCCTGGCCACACTCACCTCCCTGGCACTGTCCATTGTCATCAGGCTCTGGCTGGCCCAGAATGGAAAAGACCTCATCCTGCAGGGAGTGAGTGACACGGAGCAACCCCTCCTGGAAGGCAGCATAGAGGGGGGGCCCCACTGTGCGTAGCAGACCTCCCCAAAGAGCTTCCTCAGAGCTAAGCTCCCCTATTGGGGTAAGCAAGCCCAACAGACCCTGCAAAAAATGAGGGGCTGGCTCCCTCCCATTGAGACCTGTAGCATTGGTGGGGTCCATACTGGGCTGCACCTGCAGCAGGGCCTGCCAGCGTGTGCCCTCTAACAACAGCAGCAAAGAAGGCAACCAGTCAGCAGCCAGGACACAGTCAGAGGGCCCATCACGGGTACATGGGGGCCGTGTAGGGGTAGGGGGTCCCCCTGGAACTAAGGCTCCCAGCAGCACCTCTACAAGTCCACCCAGCACACCAGCCTGGTGCATCAAGAAGTCCCGGGGAGTTTGCTCCTGTCCCAGCAGTGCCAGCACATCCCCCAGCAGCCCTAGCATTGGCTCCCAGTCCGGGCTGCCTCTCAGTGTCACTAGGAAATCATGGAGCCGGAGGGCCGGGGGCTGAAGAGGTGGGGGCTCTCCCACTGGCCCCTCCCCCATTCTCCCAAGTTCAAAGGAAGAAGAAATGTTGGCCAGGAATGCCGAGAACCGTGAGTGGCTAAGGGAACTCTGGGGAGATTTGTCCAGAGTGAAGAGCAATGACTTCAGGAGGGAAAGACCAGGATCCAGGGACTGAGGCCCAGTAGGGATCAAAGTCACTGTAAGGAGAGAAATCAGAGGTCATTAAAGGGAAGAAATCTAGAACCCAAAGTAGTCTTGCCTCTGAGCACAATTCTCTGCCTGGATCTGAAGGTGAAGTGAGGGGATAGTGAGTGGAGCCCCTTTCATTGTCCTACAGGAAGTCTTGGTCTGCTTTCTTAACCCTCATTGTCACTGGTAGCACCAGTCTGTCCCTCTTCTTTGCCCCTTTCACTTTTATGTAACTGGTTAAGCTCCATATTATATCTACTTTTTGAGGCAGGGTCTCACTATGTAGCCCAGGCTAGTCTTGAACTCCTGATCCTCCTGCATGCTAGAATTACAGATGTGTACCAACACATCCAGCTAACTTCCACATTCTTAAGTCTCTATAGCAATCCTCTCTTTCATCTCCAGCCCTGATCACTCTCACCTTCACAGGACAGCAGAAGCAGGAGCAGCAGAGGCCAGCGGCTCAGAGCCATATTTCCAGGTGTGCACTGGTTCTAGAGGTGAATTTGGTTATTCTCACCTAGTGTAAGATAGCCAGGTGAGGGCAGGGCACTGCAGGAGCCTAAGGCTCCACTAACACTGTAGTGTGGTCTTTCAGGAAACAGTATCTGTAACCTGACAGCAGGTTTGTCACCTGAGCCACTGAATACCTGATCTGTTGGCTCTGGAGAAGGATGTGCTTCTTCAGTGAGAGTGACCAATGATAGAGGATCCCAGGGGGCCCTTGGAGGAACCCAAGGAGACAGTGTGAGTTAGGAGCCAGGGATGCAAAAAATAGGCAGACATGAAGATGGAGAACTAGAAACTAGAGTTGTAATCTGGGGATCTGAAGAAAAATGTGAAGAAAACATACAAGGAGCCTTGCATGTGATATCCAACACCACAAGAAAGAGAGGGCAAGCAAGCAAGAGTTAGTGACAGACTGAGAGAGAGAGAGAGAGAAGACAAAGGAGTCTAATGAAAACAGAGGTCTGGTCCAAGAATAGAACATTCAGGAAGAGGAGAGCTGCTTTAGATATACTCCCTAGAACCCCAAACTTTAATAAGAGTCAGGCAGGATCCAACCTTTCAACTTACAGATAAGGAAACAGGCCCAGAGAGACATGACTTGCTCATTAGGCCACTCAAATATTTGGGGTTTCCCTTTAGCTCTCTCTCTGTGGTCTAGATGAAAACCCTATAGAAAATTCTGAGCTGGCCAGATGTGGTGGCACATGCCTGTAATTCCAGATACTCAGGAGGCAGAGGTAGGAGGATCACCGTTCAAGGCCAACCCAGGCAAAGTTAGTATGAGCCCCTTATCTGAAAAACAAACTGAAAGTGAAAGGACTAGAAAGTGGCTCAAGTCTGGCAAGTGTGAGGCCTTGGGTTCAATACCCAGTACTATAAAAAAGAAAGAAAAAAAACTTTGCTGATGCTGTGTAGCCCAGGCTGGCCTCAAACTCAAAATCCTCCTGCCTCTTCCTCCCAAGTGCTGTAATTACAAGTGCACCACACCAAACCAAGCCCTTTTTTGCATTATCAAACTGTCTCTCTTCCCCTATTCTAGGAAAGTAGGCAAAACACAGGCATTTGAATTTGCTCACATTTCCTTCTAACAGAAAACAAGTCTGATGAACTGTCAATTGATGAAAATTGCCTATTTCTCTTTTAAGTGTTTGTCTTCTCTTGTGAAGAGTGTTTTTAACCAGGCATGGTGATGAAGACCTGTAATCCCAGTATTTGAGATACTGAGGCAGGAGGATCTCAAGTTCAAGGCCATCCTGGGCTACACAGCAAGACCTTGCCTCAAAACAAACAAACAAACAAACAAATAGAGTTTTAGATATTGTTTCAATACTCAGTTCATTGAGGACATGTCTATAAAGCCCAATCTTAAATCAAAATTTAAAATATTTCAAGTCTGATGGTATAATAATAATCTATGACATTTAGAGCCCTCACTATTATATATATGATTGATCTCTTAGCCATATTACTATTAGCTATTTGGTTAAAAATTTTTTTAAAACTCTTTTTTTTTCTGAAAACAAGTTTTATTTAAATAAGGGTTTAAATACATTATATAACATTAAAACTGGAAGGGAAAAGAAAACCAAAAACCAGTTTGTTACTTCACGTGGCCTTGGGCAGCTGTTGCTAATAAGCTGAAAGCTCTACAGCTAGCTACATGACTGACAGCATCAGTCTGGTATTTTTCCCTTGTCAGAAGTTTAACTGTATTAGGCTGGCCTCACATTGTTGTTTGGATATCCCTTAGCTAGGATATGTCTGGCCAAAAAGATGACTTAGTGGTGAACAAGATGTCCTACCACTTCACTGGAGGGAAGATGGTCTGGTCAGATTAGAGACACCAGGGACTCTACTACTTAAGACTCCCTCTAGTGGCACAGCTGCTGTTGCTGCCTTACCCCATCCTCTCTTGATCACTGTAGGTTATTCAAATGGTGACATTCTCTTAGGGCAGGGGGCTTTGCAGAGGGAAGATTGAAGAACTGAGATTTGAACTCAGGGTCTTGCACTTGCTAGGCAGGCGCTCTGCCACTTGAACCACACCTCCAGTCCTCAATTTCATTATTAATGCACTACTGCCCTAGAAGGTTCACTTAGAATTACAAAATTTTAGAGATGGAAGAGACATAAAGAATCCTCTGGCAAAAACTTCTCATTTCCTAGACAAGGAAACTGAGGCCCAAAGAAATGGAATGACTTGGCTTGGACACCAAGGAAGTTGGGAGTAGTACTGGTAGTTTCCAAAGCCAGTCAAGTTGGGATGAGGGCTAGCAGAGTGGCTCAAGTGGTAAGAACACCTGCCTTCTATTCACAATAGCCAAGTTATGGAAACAGCCAAGATGCCCCAGCACTGACGAATGGATTAAGAAAATGTGGTATCTATACACAATGGAATTTTATGCAGCCATGAAGAAGAACGAAATGTTATCATTCGCTGGTAAATGGATGGAATTGGAGAACATCATTCTGAGTGAGGTTAGCCTGGCTCAAAAAACCAAAAATCCTATGTTCTCCCTCATATGTGGACATTAGATCAAGGGCAAACACAACAAGGGGACTGGACTATGAGCACATGATAAAAGCGAGAGCACACAAGGGAGGGGTGAGGATAGGTAAGACACCTAAAAAACTAGCTAGCATTTGTTGCCCTTAACGCAGAGAAACTAAAGCAGATACCTTAAAGCAACTGAGGCCAATAGGAAAAGGGGAACAGGTACTAGAGAAAAGGTTAGATCAAAAAGAATTAACCTAGAAGGTAACACACACGCACAGGAAATCAATGTGAGTCAATGCCCTGTATAGTTATCCTTATCTCAACCAGCAAAAACCCTTGTTCCTTCCTATTTTTGCTTATACTCTCTCTACAACAAAATTAGAAATAAGGGCAAAATAGTTTCTCTTGGGTATTGGGGGGGGAGAGGGAGGGGGCGGAGTGGGTGGTAAGGGAGGGGGTGGGGGCGGGGGGGGGAGAAATGAACCAAGCCTTGTATGCACATATGAATAATAAAAGAAAAATGAAAAAAAAAAAAAGAACACCTGCCTTCCATGCATGAAGCATGAGTTCAAACCCCAGTGCTACAAAAAAAAAAAAAAAAAAAAGTTGGAACCAGTAAAGTGATCTATTGCATCATTTTGCCAGTATTGTCTCTTCTCCCATCAAGGGTACCACATCTAGTCTGAAAAGCAAGAGGAGAATCAGAGGAAGAAGATGGCCTGTGTTGCCATAGTCTTCTTAGCTTCTGGTCCCAATCTATCCTGCAATTTACCTGAATTTCTGCCCTGGGTTCTGTAACAATCCTCTTATAATAAATTCTTTTTTGTGTGTGCTTCATAGAGTAGCAAAAAATGAAACAGGCTAGATTCAAATCCTGGTGCCAATGTTTACTAGCTGTGTGTCCTGGGGCAGTTTCTACACCTCTCTGTGTCACAGTGTTCTGTTCCATAAAAAAGGAAAAATTACCAGCACAGAGTTCTTGTGAGAGTTGAAGCTAGAGGTATGACTCAGTGCTTGCCTAGCACATGTGAGACCCAGGGTTCAATCCCCAGCACCAGAAAGGAAAAAAAAAGTACTTAGTGAAATGTCTGGCATTTGTTTGACAAATATTAAGCACCTAACCCATGCTAGGCACTGTAAACATTCACTGAATGTTACTACTACTGTTGATAGAGAGTCACTCAAGATGAATTCTTTTATTTATTTATTTTTTTTTTGGGTGGTGGTACTAGAGTTTGAACTCAGGGCCTCATGCTTGCTAGGCAGTTGCTACACCATCTCAGTTACTCCACTAGCCTGAATTCTTTTATTTGAAATGGAAAGAGTCCTAATTAATACTGAAATCATTGCCTAGAAGTAGTTGTCTCGGAGGAAGACCTTCAGAACAAATATAGTTGCCCCTGCATATGCTAGGAGTCCTAAGAATACCAAAATCTGAAGATGCTTAAGTCCCTCATACAAAATGGAATATATAACCTACATACATCCTCCTTTCATCTCTAGAGTATTTATAATACCCATTGCAATGTAAATGCTATGAAAATAATTCTCACATTGGGGAACAATGACAAGAAAAAAGTCTGTATGTGTTCAGTACGGATGCAATATAAAAAATATATATATATTTTCAACCCCTGGTTGATTGAATCTGCAGATGTGGAACCCGTGGATACAGAGGGCTAACTGTGTGGAACATGTTGAGTCAAGCAGCGATGGGAAGGAACAATGAGATCTCCCCCAACACAGAATGAGAAATTCCGTGACAGTGCACATGATGCTGAAGTAAGCAGTTGGTTAAGTAATCCCTTTGCTGCTAAGTATTCAGACTATGTGCTACTTGAGGACTGAGGGTTCATTGGAAACATACCAGGCTATTTAAGTGTGTTGGTTACTACTGCTTATGGTTTGCTCCAAGAGTAAGACAAGTCCCAACCCACAAATGATCAAAGGAAAGAGAAATACAGAACCAGCAAACTGCAATTACAGGGCTCCAAAACAAAAAAATTAATCATGTCTCCAGATAAAGTGAAGTGAATGAGACTGGTGAGGTGATTGAAATACTGTGATCTGGTGATAGCATAGAAATACCTGGGAAAACCAAAGATGCTGAGAACTCTGAAACACTCTCACTCCCCAAAAGCTCCCATGGGGTGCCCTCTGCCTGACAAAAAGAAATGCCTCTCTTCATAAAGTACAATTATTTTTCTCACATTTGGTTTGCCTTTTGTAACTGTGATACTTATTAGTTATACAAGGATTCTCCACTTTTTTTTTTGCAGATAGGTGAGCTCAGGTGATTTAGTTCAAGCTAATGGATTGTGACTGGCAGCAAATTTAAGAGCTAATAAAATTGCCCTCTAATAATGTCTTCCCTGTTGAGGCCCCCTAGACATGTTGTGATGACAGTGTCACAATACCAAAGTAGGCTGAAACTCCAATTATCTCACATTGATCCTCATTATTTGCAAGTTCTGTCATGGTGCATTT